ACCAAAGTGCAGTTCAGTATTTCCAATTTGCCTGACTGCATGTCTTTAGACTGTGGGAGGAAACTGGAGTACCCAGAGGAAACCCACACAGACACAGGGAGAACATGCAAACTCTACACAGAGAGGACCCTGGTCGCATGGCAGAGTACTCGAACCCAGGCCCTTCTTGCTGTGAGGTGACCCACTGCGCCACCATGCAACCCAAATTAAAGCAACGATTTATGAAAAAATACTGTCGTACACTGTCATGTCAATACCGACACACAAAGAATTTTAGTCCATAAAAAAGGAGCCTTATTTTAGCCACGCCCTTGCATTTTAGGGCAGGAAGTGAGTCTGCAGCCCTGTCCCTCATGGCCACATGTTGAGCAGTTAGATCCCTATTGTTTTGAAGTAAAAGTGTCCCAAAGTCTGAAAATCAGTGTGTAATATTAAGAACTGTCAGTACCGACACATATTTTCTGCAGTGAAGTATAAAACCTTTTTATTTTAATGAAAAATATTATGATTTTATGTGTACACAACTGTTGAAAGCTGTGTTTGCTAGTCATGTACTGGCTAGCGTTTTTGAGTTCTGTTGAAAATTGGCTAAAATTGTCACTACTGAAACAGTCAGTACTGACACATTTGGTAAAGTTTGGTATTTGGAATGGTCAATCATTTATTTTAATAATATAAACATAATGAAGGTAGAGAGTCACTCGTCAGAACTAAGTAAAAAGTCCCAGTGAGAAAAGTCTGAAATGTGTTTTCAACTCGGTCGTTGAACCACTTACATAGACTGATCCAGTTATGCTCCTACATGCAATATATTGCATGTACTGTGTCAGTATTGTAGTATGTGTTTGTGGTAAATAAGGATATATAAGTGCCTCCTAATGTTTCTTTACTTAAGCATTTTAAAGATGCCGTCTAATGAATAATTAAGAATTTCTTGAAGAACCATCAGCAACTGTTCCTCTTTCTCACCCTCCCCTCTTTTTCTGTTTGTCTGTCTTTCTTCTATCTTCAACCTTTAAGCATAACCTTATTTTATAAACATAAATTTGTTTTTCATATGAATTCAAGACATCAGGCATTGTTCTCAGTGGGATATTCCTGATTTACTCATGTTTTCCAACAAAAACATTCACATGTGTACACCATTTAAAATGCTCTTTCAAGCTGCAGATGAATAAAAGGATCATGGATTTATCCACTCACCAACTGATTATTCCCTACTGTGAGCAGGAAGACAGTGTTGGCTTTGAGGCTTTGATTGAGTTTTACCTCCACCCACTACACAAAACCTTTATAGTTGAAGTGTATATGGGTCATTCTACCTAACCGGTCAATTCAAAGTCAGAATTTAAATCACATTTGGGACTTTTAACTGACTTTAGAAAATTGCAGAATATATGTTTCTGACAACATATTTTCTATGTTACACACAGTTACATATATGACATTATACAGACATTACACAGTAATACATATAGTGAACATATCACTGTTACATACTGTTATACATATGATTTACACAATATTACACACTGATTTTCAGACTTTGGGACACATTTACTTCAAAACAATTGGATCTAACTGCTCACTATGTGGCCATGAGGGACAGGGATGCAGTCTCACTTCATGCAGGGGTGTGGCTAAAATAAGGCTCCACCTATGGACTAAAACTCTGTGTTTCAGTAGTGACATGAAAATGTGGGACAGCGTTTTTTTTTTCAGTTTATTTCTTATTAAAAATAAACTTATCATAATTCTAAATCAATAAACTTCACTTAAATAAAAAAAAATCTTGAAAAAAAAGAAAAGCATTAAAAAAATGCAAAATTTAAGTACTTTTACAAGTTAAAATTTAGGGTTTATAGTTTGGGACAGCTTAGCTTATTACTATCTCAGTTAATGCCTTTGGTTTAAATAGATCATAACATAATCCTTATAAATATCTTAGCTCTAAAGTGGACAGCACTTTGAAATAATGGTCCATAGGTAGGCATATAAGTAGGCATTGTATATGCAGTCTTGTGAAAAAGTACTGCACACAAAGTATTTTTGCACTGATATTTGCTGTATGCGTCACTCTATAATCATAAATTAAACACTGCAAGTGTTCTCATCAGTCAACAATTCCGTTAGGGAATCAATGGGGGGTTCGATTGCCTGTCCATGTAAGCACACCATGCTACACCAATATGAGACCTTAGACAAGATTCTTGATGCTAAACTTGCCTGTGACATGAAGCAACTCTGAATAAGAGCATCTAACAAATGCAAAAATGTAGATGCCTGACAATGAAATACAGCAGGTTGTTGAGATATACTGACTCAAGTGAGTTTGTTAATCTTAATATTCGGTTGTTTTTTTTTTTGCTGTCTTCATGGATCTAATCATTTTGTGCACAGCTGAATTTGATCATTCCAGACACTGAATCCAGCCTCTTCTTTTAGTTCACACTTCTTCTGCAGCTAGTGAATAATTCAGAGAGGACGTAAATAAGTAAAAGAGCTAAAATTAGTATTCGTATAAGCTGGCATACCACATTCGATACATAGCCAGAGACACTGCAGGTGGCAATATTTTTTCACAGGAACATATTTTCTTGTACTTCTGAAGCTTGGTGCTTTAGCAGACACAAATAATTCAGTATTTGTAAGCTTCAGAGGAAGTAGTAGGATGAACATCTTGGTATGAACATCTGTTATTTATGTTCAAAAGGAATTGGCCAGCTTTGTAGTATAATGTAGCGACTCAAAATTGAGCTGTTCTCAAACAAAGGTTCATCCTGAAATCAAACTGACCTTTTTAACCCTGATAGTGCATTAAAGAATAAACATGAATAACAGGAATACAAGAGTTTTATCTTTTAAATTATATATTGTGATATGATGAATCATGCTAATCCAGAGGAAATACAGTTGTGTAATACAGTTGTATGCAAAAGTTTAAACACCCTTCTTCAAATGATATATTTGGTTTACTTTTCTAAGTAAAAAAACAAACAAACAAACAAAAAAACAAAAACAACACAAAACAAAAAATGCATCCACTACAGGAAACAAAATTAAATGTGGCATTTTTCTGCAATTTTAGTGCATCATTTCCATTTATTTTTAACATGTTGGAAAAAACAAAATCATAAAATGCATAGTGTACAAAAACGTTGGCACAGGCCACATTTGATGTATTTTTTGTTATAGATAAAGTAATAGGTAATCTCATGAAAAGCCATAGGACAGTAAAAAAACAAAAAAGATCTCCTTACTATCTCTGTACTTTTTTCTAGACAACAATGAGATCAGATGCAAAGACAAAGGAGACTTTGCTGAAGTCTCTCCTGCTGCTCAGATATTTCTTCTGAGAAAAAGACTACAGTAAACTCACATGTCTCATCTTGAATTTTAATGAGATCCCAATAAAGTCACATAGATCACACAGAAGTGGCAAGATATTTATGCTGATGTTTATCTACAGCTAAACTGACATCTGTTTTGTCACTCCTGTATCTCATGTCTCCTTCTGGTCGAATGCTATTTAGGAGAACCACCATTAAGTCTCATGAGCCATGGACTGCGTGTTTCTATTTTTACTCCATTTTTCTGTGATAACGAGTTATTTTCATCTGTTTTCTCAAGATCTTGGGTAATTTTTGCAATTATCACGACAAAACAAATGCTATCTTAGTGAAACAATGTCCTATATATCATGACAGTGATAAAAATAAATCAAGGTCTTGAGAAAACAACATTTGTTTTGCCATGATAATGACATAAATATCATAAGATCTTGAGAAAACAAATGAAAATAACTTATCAGGGGAAAATGGAGTTAAAAAACATGCAAATCCATGGCCCCTTAGGGATTGCATATATTGACACTAAAAAGGCATAAGCTACAATCTGTTTCATTGTTTCCTCAGCCAGAGATCACTAAAGTCAGTGATAAAATAGCCTAAATTGATAAAAAATCAAAAGTCCCAGCCACAAAGGGCAAACTGCTGTATTTCAAGGTTATCCTTTCTAGGTTGTTCGATTGATAAGCTGTCTGCACCAGGGTAGGTGAGACTGAAAGCCTGCTGACAGTTTGTGTTCTTTATTTATTTAATTGTTTGTTTTAATTGATTGTCTGGCCAGTGACTCTTCCAATTGTTCATTCACATTCAGTGAGGCAAAGGCTCTGTAGGGCTGTCAAATAAATGAGAGTGGTATATAAAGGTGATTAAAACACTGAAAACGACTGAAGCAGACATCAGTCTGTGGATGAGAAGCTGTTCATTTAAAAGTTAGACAATGGGCAGGGAAATGCTTTGCTAGTTGACAAGACTCTTGCTTGATCCCCAAACCATGTAGGCCTGAGTATCAACTAATGAAGATATAGTATATCCAAAGTTTAAAAGGAAATAATTAGTATAGCCAAATGGCTCTTATTAAAAAAGGGACAAAAATAGGACAAAAACAGAGCTATAAAAAATGAATTCTGAATCTGTTTAATACATACACAAACAGACAGACACAACAAAAGCCTATCACCATATAGGCGTCGGCTCTGCTTAGGCCTGTATTTATCAGACCAGTAGCGCCCTCTGTTGATTGAAACGGTCTATTTTAAACATAGCAAGTGGTTAGGTACGTGCACAACTGATGTTAAAATATCACAAAATAGCACAATACTAAGTACTTTTAAATATTTAATAAGAAACAGTCTGTATCGCTTGCAGTTTACAGAGAATTTGAGTTTAGTACATTGTAAACACAGGCTGTGACTCTGGACCGGGCCATGTTGGAATGGTCTAAGTAGCCGTGAAAACAGGGGGTCGTTTCTCAGTACAATGTACTTCTGTTTCCTACTGTTTAACGAAACGTTTCATCAGGCCATTGTGGACTGTAGTCAATGTTGTTTCGTCATGTAGGCAACCGTAGCAATGTTAACATATCCAGTTTTATATAATCAAATATGTGCAGTGAAACAGCGATATCTGCAGTGCTGTACTGTTTGGTACAGTCAGGGGACAACATGGCGCTGCGAGGGCTGAGCTGCTGTGCCCGGTTTGTACTTCATCAACATGAGCGTGCTGTACTCCGCGGGGCAGTGCAGTCGGACTGTTTTAAAGGCAGAGATGGAGGTGTGTTCTCGGTGTTTACCAGTATTAGCCCGAACCTATTTGGTTTTGTCTCTGGTTTAACAAAAACACAGGGAGCTGATATAAAAGCTTAGCAGGTCGCAGCCAGGTGTGTATAGTTTCTATAGGCTGCTGTGAATTAGTACCTTTACAGTCTGCGGTGGACTGAACTGGCAACCCACACTGACTGCACGGATTAACACGTTACCTGGTTTTAAAATGTGCTTTAAAGGGCAATTCCACCAAATTTTAAGACATCCTGCAGAATTTAGTCGTTACGATAAACAAACGCTGTATCTGAAACGGCTCCCTGCTCATAGTGCACTCCAGGGAACACAACCAGTTTTTGAAAATGTTTACATAATTAAATGGTTAAGATATAAACAAAGTCATTCAGAGTTATTTGATGTAACATGCATCATTCTAGAGAAACTTGAGTCACAATTGTTCATGGTGGTGCTAGGAACCTAAAGTCTGGAGGATTGAATGCCTCTGAAAGCTCCCTCACAGGAGGTTATTACACAAAATGGATATGAATGTGCTGCCTGATGCCTAAGACATTGTTTTACGTTAGTTTTGTTATAAAGTTTTGGCTTGAAACCTCTTTTTAATCCATTTATTTTAATCTATTCGTGGTGGAGAGGTACAAGTAAGGAGTTGTAAGGCAAAATAGTCCCCCCAAAAACTTATTTCTTCAGATTTTCAACTATTTTACCATCATAAACATTACATATAAAAACTTAAAAGACATTTGCAGATTCACTGGTGATTTTGTATAATAAATAAAGTGGCTGTATTTGTGTTGTTGACATTGCAACCCCAGGTTCCTGTCACCATCACTGTAAAGAAATCCGACTCCATAACTTGCTCTACAGTGAACCATTTTACATCAAACCACTCTGAATGACTTTGTTTGCATCACAGTGATGGAATTATGCACAAACTTTGAAAAATTGGTGGCATCCAAATGTTGCCTGTTATGGCTAACAAATAGTTATGTGTGATTTAGCCACATCCATACTGGACAGATGCACTGTTTGAGTGTAAAAGCTAGAATTTCAAAACTTACCTAGCACACTATATAGTTAGGGAGTAGGGAGCCATTGGAGGTTCAGCCAAAGTCAATCAGAGTGGTTTGATGTGAAATGCTCTATTGTTGAGAAACTTGCCGAGTCAGAATTATTCACAGTGGTTGGGATAGGAACTAGACGTCTGAGGTGTTTAATGCCACTAAAAGCTCCTTCACAGAGAGATATTACAAATAATGGCTATAAATATGCTGCCTGATGCATGAGACATTCTATTACATTAGTTCTGTGATGAAGTTTTGGCCTAAGATTTATTTTAAAGTCACTTAATCACTGAGAGCTACATGCAGGGCGTTCAAGGAAAAAAAAAGTACCTGAAGAAAATTTTCCACAAATTTTCAGATGTACCACTATTTTACCATTATCAAAACTACATTTAAAAACTCAGAAGACACATGTAGGTTCACTGGTCATTTTGGAGAGCAAAAAAAATTGGCTATGTTAGACATTGCGGCACCTGGTTCCTTTTACTACCACTGTTAAGAATTCCAAGCTGATAGCTAAGTCTCTCTACAGTGATCCATTTCACATCATCAGACCAATCTGAATAACTTGTTTACATCTCAGTTATTGAATTATGCCAAGATAAACAAGTGCCATGGTAGTTGGTGAAACAGATGGTTGTTGCATAGAGGTAAATAGTTTTATGTACTCTGTTACTTGTATTCAAGTAATATATTGATGTATTTCTACTTTCCTGAGTATTTAACATGATACTACTTTTACGTCTACTGAAGTACAGGGAGATTCACTCGAAACAGGCCCCGAATATTCTGTTGTAACTCCCGTTAGGGTGAAGCAATCTGAACCAAAAAATACGCTACATACCTTGACACGCTGCTCAGTACTGTACACCACCATCCTGATGAGAAGTCGAGTGACTGAGTGAAGGGGTACGGGGATATGCACCCAGAAGTTACAAACGGAGGTTAAACGTTGCAACGGCTGTCTGGCGCCTACCTCATCGCTCCGATGCAGGGGCGTCTTGGCTTGTTCGAAGCTCCATATCCTGAGGAGCACATTGCATGTTGTTTTCGCTCAGATTGCTTCATCCTAGTGAGAGTTATTAGAGAATATTCGGGGCCTCTTTCAAGTGAATCTCCCTGTATAATTACTGTACTTGCTTTTTTGTTTATTTTCCTGTAGTTATGTTGGTAAAAGCTTCTGTAATTGCTTCAGGACTGATCATACCTCTCACTTTAGAACTTTAGCATTTCATTTTCAACAAATGGGTCCCTAAAAGGCAGTGATAGTTGTTGGATGTACAAAGGCAGTAGTTCCCAATACTGTCCTGAGGGCCCCTGAGATGGTACACATCTTTCCTTCATCTCTATGTCTTGCGATTTGGGTTGGAGCAAAAATGTGGACCATCTTGGGGGCCCTGAGGACCTGGTTGGGAACCACTGTACTAAAAAGTTTCAGTGTAGTTCTATAAGTTACTCAGCGCTTAATTCTGACTCATTTCAGCCAAACGCCATCTACTGTCAGAGGATGTGGTGAAGCTCCAAGATTTTCAGCAGAGGAAACTCGCCGTGGCCCATCAAGTGTCCGGACCAAAAAGTTGGTGATTGACATTTCACTTGACTGAATGAAGTCCTGTCTGTCTGGCTTCTCAGCTTGTTTAGATGTGAATTAGTTTAGAACAAGGTTGGTTAGTATAGGAGCTGGTTGGCACAGTACTGATTTATGTGTCACAAAAAAATGTAAAAATAACTGCCCTCTTGACCAACATTCATCCATTTAAAACCAACAGGAAGTCATGCTAGCAAGCTAGCATTAACACAGAGTTGTGTCATGATGGGAGAGGGGATGGTTGGCACATGTGTTCTAATGTTGATTTTCAATTGTAACTGATTGAAAAACAGTATTTGGATGCCATTGAATATAGGTCTGTCATCGCCTAATCGCATTTATTTGAGATGATCGCTGTTATTTCAGATGATCGCAGTGATCTAAGCTGACTGCTATCATTGTCCACAGGAGTTAGATGTTACTGTCACATTATGCTGCATTAAAAGAATTGTGAATAGTGTGTGTTGAGGCCATTAAAAGTAAATAAAGGAGCACAGTAAATGCATCCATTAAGACTTTTTATGGGGCTTATAAAAACAAAAAACCTTGTAACTTCTAACTTGATTCTCCAACATGTTTAGAGGACAGTGCTGAGTGATGGTAGTTTATTTGCTAGCTATGTAGCTAATTTTAGTGTTTTAGCATGTATGCTACCGATTTGTATCTTAATAGTAGCAAAGACCATCATAAATATCACTTATTTTGATGACAATCTTAAGCTAAAATTTCATAATCATGACAGCTCTAATTGAATGTTTATATTTGCAGTTTAAATTAAAAGCTCAGATTATTTCTATTTGTTGCTTCGTTTTTTGAAACTATAAACAAGTAATGTCATCCCAGACGTCTTTATAGCATGTGATAACCAACCCCATTCAATTTAAATAAAATGTGCTTGTTGCAAGAAACTGTTTTGTTGTTTAATATGTCTGTTGCCAACCAGCCCCACTCTCTCCTACTCTGATCTTAGTAGAGGGCCTCTTAGGCTAACATTTAGAAGCCAATTTAATGGGAAAAAAATTATGTTCATATTAAGTTAAAATACATATGTACGTATTCTTGAAATGTATACAGTCTCTCAAATTTTTAAGCACATTGTATTTGTCCTCTTTATTGACAGGTCATTATTTTGACACCCTAAATCAGAAAATGGAAAGGAATGAGCTGATTCTGAAGGATGAACTGAAGCTGCTTCTGCATCTCTGTCAGACTCCTGAGGATATGGTTACAGCTAGAAATGCAATCTATAGGTAGGCCTAAGACAGCACTTCCCATCACAGTAGTCAAAAAGTACCGTCCACAGTGTAAAACAGACAGCAACCATATGCCCTACAAAATAATCAGCTCATGGCTTTCTAAGATCAATTTGATGGACGTAATTCACTTCATTAATGGGCAGCAAGTAACTCCATGTCTTGAATAGTGTTGTGTTTTGCCCCCAAGACCTTGTGATCTGATTGAATGTTGTGGACTCTTGCTATAATAACATACCAAACCAGTTTGTCACCCGTTTTTCTATTGTCCTACTTTAAATGCAGATACCATGAAGAAAATCGTAATGTAGCATTTGGAGAGTTCAGGTTCGGACCTTTGTTCATGCGGCTCTGCTACGAGCTGGGTCTGGAGGATGTGGCAGTCTCTACACTAACTGATCGGGTACAAATGCACACATATAAGGACACTTATACACCAGTTGTTATGGGACTTTTATTACATTCAGCATTATATTGGTCCTGCATGACTGTAAACCATTAAAGGGATGATCATTATTGAGAAAGTACAAAACAAAGAAAAGGTTATGTTGGCCTGAAAAGTATAATTAAATCAGTAAAAGTTTTCACTGTTTACTTTCATGTATCTTTTAATAGAATAAGGATTTTGTGCTTATGTTGATTTTAGGTTGATTGATTATTTATATGTTGTTTTTTTTTTAAGACACTAAAAGGATTCTTTTCAGACGGTACATCTTTTAACATCGCCATAGACATGCTTTTCACCAAAGAGTGCTATGAGGGTAAGTCTCAACTTATTTCTTTAAAGCCCTCTAGTGCTAACATTGCTGTTATCCATGTGTTATCAAACATATAAAGTAACAGGCAACATTAAAATTCAGCTGTGTTCTTTTATACGTCTTTGTAAATTTGCCATATATTTCAAACACCACAGCAACCACACTGAATTTGCTCTCTCTGACCTGCGTTTTGTTAATGTGCATTTTATAGTTTTGTAGCCAATCATGTTTCAGACTCTGTCTCTGTCTCTGTCTGCAAAGGAAGTCTGTTGCCATGGTTACAGCCATGGAGGGGTCCTGATGTGTATGTTTGTGCCCATGTTGTCACAGGTGCGCTGGAGGTGGTGGGGGAGATGAAAAGCCAAGGCGTACCTTTCAACAAGGACACCTTCACGCTGGCCTTCGCTACCTGCTACAAACTAGTATGAGCCATCACATTTTACAATACTGTGCAAAAGTCAGCGACCACGCTTTCGTTGATTTAGTTTTCAGTCAAAAACAGGAAAAAAAGCAGAAAACATTTATTTAACTGAAAATGACAAAGTTCAGTCCTAGAAATTGTTTGCGTTTTCTGTTTTTCACGATCTCAGTTAATCCCAGTTACAAAGTTTAGTCTAATCAGTCCAGTCCACTGAGTTGTCTTCTCACATTATTTGGATAGAAACACCTGTGGATTTTTTCACATCTGGATCAAGAGTGGAGCTTGATTTTCTCAGTCTCTCAATAGTGACAGTTTTGGTGGTCTACCAGGTCTTGCACAACTGTGGGAATCTAATTATTGCTATATTTTTAATATTTCAATAATCCTTATGCATGTGAATTATTTTATGTCTAATCTCTTCAGAAATACTTTATTTAGTAATTTTAGACATACATAATAAAGAAACTTGCAAGGCAGCTAAGGTGTGTTTGGGTAGTTGCTTGTGTAAATGTTAGTGTCTGTTTGAAGGGGAACATGATGTCAGTGGGATCTTTAAACAGTTTTTGTTGGGTGCACACAGCTGTGGTTGCTTTATTTTAGGATTGGAAGGATGGAGGAGTTAAATTGTCAGTAGAGTGCACTAAAGGAAAGATTAAAAAGTAAAAATTAAATACTGATAGATTTGATATTTAGTGTTGGGAGCTTTTGTGTGATTTTCTGTTAAATAGTTGTAAATGTATGTAAACTTGTACTTATTGGCCATTTTGACTGGTAATTAGATAAATGAAAGGGTGACTTTTGCATAATACTGTAACAGAATGACTTACTTTTATGTGATTGCAGGTGCTAATGATGTTGAATTAGATTTATAGTTTACAGTATGTTTATGAGAAAAGCTATGTTTTATATAAATGTAGTTTATGTGAAAAACTAGGCATCATCTTTAGAACACCACTTCTTTCTGCTGAGTCACTTATAACTTTCTGTCGTGTTTTTGATAGAACACCCCTAAGTCATATCGTATCTGCTTGGCCCTGATGGAAGAAGGCCAGACCAAAGGCCTTCTAATCCCCAGACATGCCTATTGCTGTGCAGTTGCTCTCGCTCTTAAACAAGTAAGTGTTTAATGCCATTTGGAAACAGCTGCAATGCCCCAATAATCACTTTTTTGCAGATGTTAGACTGCTGGAAAAAATAAACACCAACAGTGTGTTATCTTTTCTAAATCCAGATTTGCCTTAATTTCTTAATATAGAGAAGGTCTCATCTGTTACAAGCAAGAATGGGTTGAGGATTTCCACTTTGCAAAAAAAAAATTGCAAAAAATCCAAGTTTAAAAACAGTTCCATTTTGTTTTCACATTTTTCTTTATTTATGAACCCTGCTGTTAACTGCACGATAACAGTGATCTTTTTTCTTTGTTGTCCCACTTACATTCTGCAGATAAAATCCTGGCCACATTCTTTGGCAGATATGCGTGCATGATTACATGATAAAGGTTCTCTGGTGACAGGTCTATGAAAATGAAAAAAAGATGTTCCCTCGGAATAATAGCGCCAATATTATGCCTTGAAAAACATGACTAAAAAGGTGTGGTTTTGCTTTGTTCGAGTTTCATCATTGTTGCAGCCATATGCCTGTACAAACCCAATTCCAAAAAAGTTGGGACAGTAGATAAAATGCGAGTAAAAACAAAAGCAGTGGTCTGTGCATATATTTTAACCTGTATAATTATATTATGATTATATTACCTGTTCAAGACATATTTTGAACATTTCACAGCTGCTTGATGGAGATGAGCAAGATTTTAGTATTTTTCTGTGTTTATTGTCTTTTGAACTGTATTTTATTGCGTTGCATTGTGAAGCACTTTGGGACTAGTGAAGTGCTAAAAAATTAAGATTTACTGACTCACTCAATAACAAGTTTTGATGTGTGATACAGACATAAAGTCCCAACGGGGAAACATTTGTGGAGCCGAGCCTGTTTATTACAGTCCTTTAAGATCCATAAGAACAGAGATGTGAGGTTCTCACATCAAGCAACTCCTCATTTTCTGTTCCATGTGCTACTTTATACTCTCAATATATTTTGTGCCACCCAGTGTGCAACCTGTGCATGACAGCATACATACATGCCTACATAAATATAGCTCCAATACTGAAAAAGTCTCAGACTATTAATCATTTTGAAGCTCCAATCAAAATGGCCATTAAGTGCATGCTATTCATTTTTCAGATACTATTTTTCAAATGCAGAAAACATGTATTTTACAGAAAATCACACAGAAACCTATCACATTTCATTTTAATATTTTTAATACAGCTTCCATTCTTTTCAAGAGTGTGGCCATTTAATTTTTTCAAAAAATCTGCAGGGATGTTTTTCCACACCTTGAAAGTTCAGTCTTAAAAGTTGGTTGCCGTTTCTGCTTTTTGCGATCCGTTTCAAACACATTCAGTGATGCTGAGGTCTGGACTCTGGGTTGGTCAGTACATTGTTTTAAGAACACCAGCGGATTCTTTCTTTTTCTCAGTAACAGCTTCTTGACAGCTACACATCCTTTCAAACCCATAGCGTTGAGGTGTTTGACATTTGTGACAGTCATAGTTGATTTGGACACTGGTTAATGTCAGTAGTGGCTATTTATTTTGCTTTTGTTTAGTGAAATTTATTTGTAGAGGGTTTTAAGGATTGTCCTATATGTTACAGTAACATTATTATTGACATTATGACAATGTACCTTTCTATTGCTATTTATTGTAAACTTCCTTTCTAAAGCAAACTAGAACTGTTCATAATGCTTTTCTTTTGCCTTTTTTCCCTGCTTGTTTACAATGCAGAATGACACTGAGCAAGCACATAATATCTACTCTCAAATCATGAGCACAGACAGCAGACTATGCCAGAACCTCAGGGTGAGTTACTCTGTATAAGTGTTTGTATTTGAGTGCAACCAAGACATACAGACAGACAGATTGAGGTCAGTTGTATTTTTATGTTGTGTGTTTCTAGGTGCTGATGTTGGTCAAGACAGGATCAATTAAGGATGCAGTCGAAGCTCTCACAACCGCCCTGTTGTCCAAGAGTTCAGTGTTTGTAAGGAAACCAGAATTCTCCCAGGAAGTGGTAAGACACTTTACCACCAGAACCACAGTAACTGCACCCAACGCTTGTCGTTAAGTTTAGGTTGAAGACTTTATTGCCACGTCAACCACCAGGGTTGCTAGGACTTAATTTAATGCACCCAAGACAACACGATAACTGCTACAACAGACAATCACATAGACATAAGTACATACATAGAGACAAAAAATAAAATCAAAAGAACATTGAAAGCGGTTGCCTGTTTAAAATTAGAACCAAAATAAAAATTCAAAACCAGATTAAGAAATTAAGAATTTAAAGTGCCCAGTGCAAAGAAATAGAACTAACTAAAAAAGCTGTGACAAATTCAAAATGTGGACAGTGCTAAAATAGAGTGGGGTCCAAAAGTCTGAGACCACTGGTGAAAATGCTTCTATTACAAATGTTATCAGCGTAACAATTTGAATGAAGTAGAATCTTTGAATGATTACATCAATTTCAGAATTTCTTAGTATTTGAAATGCCCCCCCTTTGCTTTAATGATGGCAAAAGGGCATAAGTGGTGCATAGGTTTTGAAAAAAGCCTCTGATAAGTAGCTCAGAGATCTGAGCTACCTTCTGAGAGTCCTCTAAATACATGCTTCAATGGAAGGAATTATACAAAAAAAATTCTGACCTTTTTGTACAAAGGCTTTCACATGGTCAATTTAACAAATTTGCTTTTTCATTTTAGTTATTTAAATTTTAAACTTCTTGTTTGAAAGTGTTCATTCTGTTTATTTCTAGGTTCAAATGAAAAACATATCAGATTTTCAGTGTGGTCTCAGACTTTTGGACCCCACTATATATATTGTTTCTGAACCTAGAAATCCTGGATTGTATGGACTGGAATCTTTTTCCTGAGGGGAGCAGTTTGAGCAGGGAGTGTGCAGTGTGGGAGGTGTCTTTTAAAATGTTTTGTCCATGTATGCGAATGTAATACATTTCAGAAAGAATTGGCAGCAGGGTTCCAATGATTCTTGAAGCTATGAGCACAATTTTGTCCAGCTGCCTTTCTTCCTGGGACATCATACTGCTGAATCAGACTGTTATTGAAAAAGTGAGGACAGGTTCTGTCACTGCCCAATAAAGCTGCAGCATCCCCTCCCTCAACACCCTGAACTTTGCCTCAAATATAACCTTGGTGATCCTTATTTGTGATAAAATCACTTAACTCCCAGATAAGTGAAGAAGAGATGGTAGTACCCAGAAGCTTAAAACTGCCCACCAGCCCCACCTCCTGGTCAATAACAATTAAGGGCAGATGTGCTGTCCTGTTGAAAGGGACAAATACATTATGTAGCAAAACCAGCATCTGTTCTATTATCCAGATGCACTGGTGTAAGTATTACTGTTGTCATGGTTACTCTTCATATATATATATATAAAAAAGCTGTGTTACCATTAATGGTAATTATTATTATGGCAGATGTCATAACTTTTAAAGTCATGACTACAAACTAGAGTGATCTTAACAAAGATGATCATGTGATGTTTGGTGTTGTGATATAAGCTGTCATATTTGTCTTGGGACACTGCTGGGCCACTGTTAAAACAGGGTTGTCCTACATTTAGAGCAGTAATTGGGAAATTTTGTCCTCTCAAGATGTCTTTGAGATATACTTGCCTTATCTGTAGTTTGGTTTGACTTACTGAACCTAATGAAAGATTATTACCTTAGGAGTTGTTATTCTTTAATAGCTTCTGCCTAAATTCAAGCCCAACTGAAGTTGTCATGGTGACTAAACAGATAAATTCAGAGTTAGGATGTTTCTGTGATATGGTCCCAGATTATTATATGTTTCCCAACCTGCACGTTTTAGTGTTTTCCCTGCTCCCGACACACCTGATGCAGCTAATTGGCTCATTAATAAGCCCTTGCTGAGTTAAAATAGCTGTGGTAGAGCATGGAAAGCACTAAAATGAGCAGAGCAGTGGGCAGGGTTGAAAAACACAGGGCTGTGACATTAATTTAGCTTGGAAGCAACAGCTGAAAATGGTGACGTAGTCTGTCACACTGATTATATGGCAAAAACATGCATAGAAAATAAAAATCACTTGGAGTGACTTGATTCAGTTGATCATTTACACTCTAAAGCTACAAAGAAATGTATCATTATGTATGACTGATTTTTCTTTCTTTCTTTCATTGTTTTTTCTTCCTTCCTTCCTCTCTCTTCTGTCTTTTCAGGTTGATGTGTTAAGAGAGAGAAGTGCAGACGGGCCTTGGGAGCTGCAGGTGGAGCAGGTAGTAAGGCGGCTGCAGCAGGCGGGTCAGGTGACTGCGCAGAGCCTGGACGACTTGCTGTGCCAAACCCCCTCAGGGAAGAGGAGGCCTCTAGGTATTCTGGAGGAGGGCAGGAAAAGGGGCCACAGCCGAAGGACTATGAGACCTCTACGGTCCACCCTGCTGTCAGAGTGAAGGAACAAACGCACTGTGATGGTCATGGCCACTGCTGAAATCCACAGTTATCCATGCCTGGGCTTAAAGGAATAGCTTGGCAAAAAATCAAATGTACACAATTTTCCACTTACCCCAGGTGCAGTCGATCAGCCAAGACATGTTTGATGTACCAAATTATATTTATTTTAAAACTTGAACAATGAGTCAAATGTTACTAACAAATGCTAGTCAATAGTCACCCAAAACTTTTCTGTAAATATATCCCCAAAACGTCTCTCAACCTGCTTAAAAAATTAAAGGGGAACTTCAGAATTTTAACGTAATTAAATGCTTAAGATTTAAACAAAGTCATTCAGATTGGTTTGAAATGAAATGCTCAGTTCTAGACAAATTTACAGAGTCAGAATTGTTCTCAGAGGTGGTGAAAGGAACCAGACGTCTGTAGAGTTTAATACGTCTAGATACATCACAGAAAGTTATTACATGAAATGAGACATTATTTTATGGTAGTTTTGTGATAGTTTTGGTAATAATGGCGGAAGGGTACATGCAGGGCGTTGTAAGACAAAATAGTCTTAAAAGAGAACTTTTTTTTTCAGATATATGACTTCCCTACCATTATCAACATTACATATAAAAACTCAGACAGTATGAAGGTTCATTGGTGGTTTTGGATAGTAAATAAAAAATACCTATCATGACCCTTAGTTCCTGTCACCACCACTGTAAAGAAATCAGCAAGTTTCTCTACAATGGACCATCAGACCACTCTCACTTTGTTTATACCTCAATGATTGAATCATGCAGAGATTTCGAAAAATCGGTGGAATTCCTGCATGATGTGTGTGCATGCAAAAAGGGGTTGGATCACGCAAGGGGTGTCATTATTTAGCACATCTATTTAAAATGAAGTGTGCAGCTACATGGTGATTTTTTTTTATTATTATTTTTATAGCTCACAGTAAGTCATACTGTGCTCTAAACCACATTGACAAAAATGCAGGGTTGAGAGAAATTTTGGGCATATATTTACAGAAAAGATTTGGGTGACTATTGACTTCTAGTGTGTCTTAGCGATGTTAGCTGGTAGCTCCAGTGCTAAACTAAAGAAGCTCAGTTTAGACACCAAAAATGTCATGGCTGATTGACTTTATCTGGGGCAAGTGGAAAATGAAAAATAGTAGATTTTTCACTGAACTATCCCTTGAAGAGACCAGTTGACATAATAGAAGAATGAAAAGCAGCTGCGACCTTCCAGATGATGGCACGTCCAGACAACAGTGGAGTTACTGGATTTAGGCCATTTCGGTACAGTTAGCTTTGTCAAAACAGGACTTGTGAACAGCAAGTTGAAGTGATCCTCAAATTGAGGGCATGTCTGTAATATCCAGTTTGTGGCCTCATAGGCTGGTATCAATATAGCATATATTTGATTGCATTTAAAGAGCTCATTTTAGGTTTAAACATGGACAAGACCAGTAAAAGGAGTTTAACCTGCTGAAGAATAAATTGATCTGACTGAAGACAACGCTCAATTTAACAGAGCTATCTTTTTGATTTGGATTTTCTGAAAGAGATAATCATCTGATAAAGAAAGATTATTTAATTTGTAATAATTTAATAAACATGTAAAACCTCTGTAGTCACAATCTATTTCTTGGAAGTAAACCTCGCTGATCAGACTTGTGTGAACTCGTTGGAAGTCACAATGTTGTTTTTGAGCAGACAAGATTTTGGCAGAATTTAATTACAACTGTGATTCAACACATTTGACATAACTAATGGATGTTTTGTGACGAAATGTGGAAGAAATGTGAAGCTTTGTTTGAAATTGACCCTATTGTCTGCGATAGAATAGCTCTAAAATAATTTTTAAAGCAGGAGTGTCAAACTTGGTTCCTTTCAGGATTTGAATCTTTGTCAGGGTTTCTCCATCCTGCAGTTTTGCACATTTTGAATTCGATCTGGCCAAATATGCCCTAATTAGATTCAGAGAACACCTATGTTTTTTTTTTCATTTTTAACATTTTGCTGTAACCTGAACTGACCATTGTTTATTAAAAATACACCAAAACGTCAATAGTAAAATATAGGCACTTGTAGTAGACCTTGAAATATTACATGAATACTTGAAATACTCAATATTTACATGTCCCCAGGAAGTAGGTCTTTTAAACCTTCCTGTATTCCTGATTTAGACACCTGCCATCTTTTCTTTGCTGCCCACTGTCTCATAGATTGTTGTTGGGGAAAGAGAGTTGCAGCACACTTTGTTGCAGTGCATGATGGGGATTATAAAATGGGTTAATATTAATAGAAAATTGAAATACATTCACAGGCTGAATAGGATTTTGTCACAGGCCTGATCTGGCCTGCGGGCCTTGTGTTTGACATATGGGCTCTAGATATTTACTTACTGACAAAGTCAAAAAAGTACAGTATTGTGCAAAAGTCAGAGACCATCCTCATTTGTTTAATTTCCAGTCATAAGAGAAAAAGCATCAAAATATTTAATAGAAAATTACACTGAAGCCTTAACAAATAAATACAATAGTTCAGTATTTAGTCACTTGTTGCCTTTTTTACAGCTTCCATTTTTTTTCAGGAGACTTGCTTGTTTTTCTCCTGACAAATGAATAACGTGTACTTAATGGCCACTTTGACCACAAATTAAATAAAAGAAAGGTGGTCTCTGAGTTTGGCCCAGTACTGAATTTTTTTTAAATCTACATAAATAGTATTCTTTTAAAATGTTCCTGCAAAAAACAAACAAACAAAAAAAAACACTAAATATTATAGATGTACTTTTGTACTTTTACTTTTGTGGATTATACTTTTCTTCATTTAATTATGGAACTGCTGCTACTTACATCATTCTGGTAAGATGTTTGTGCTCTTATTATCCCAAAAAATGGAGTGCAGTGTCTCCCTTTCCTTTGAATGGGTGTGGTTTGCCTGGGCTCACCCTTGACAAAGCAGGTATTACGTTATTAATTTTATAATATTAATAGCTAGATTCCATATTCATAAATGTAAGTATTTAAGGGGGATTCCACTAATTAAAAAAAAATGCATAATTAAATCGTTAAAATGTGAACAAAGTCATTCAGGTGGTTTGATGTGAAATGCTTCATTCTAAAGAAACACTAGACTCAGTTCACAGTAGTGGTGATAGGAACCAAACATGAAGAGTTTAATGTCTCTCAAAGCTACCTCACAGGAAGTTAATACAAAAAATGGTATGCTGTATGCTGCCTGACACATTGTTTACTACGGATCCCTGGAGGGGAGGGGGGGGGTTAAAAATAAAAATTATTTTGAGGGAACATTTTGCAATTTGTGCAACCGTCTTTTATTCATGGATTTCTTAATTCGTTCCCACGATTAACGATTCCATTGTTTTCTTTGAATCGTGCATGTTTTCTTTAATTAGTGGGTACTTTTTCTTAATTTGTCCCCACGAATAACGCTTAATATTTCTTGCTGTAATTGTGCGACGGCCGCAAACACTGCAGCTTGATGCGGGAGCAAAAACAGAGATAAGCGGCTACACTGCGGCTTCATCTCTGTTAAATATAATCATTAGAAAGTGCAGTTTGTTGAAGGCTGTAGTTTGTCTTCTTCTGTTCGTTATTGCATAAATTTAAACACATCAAATCCCTTTAGACAGTTTCAGGGAACTGTTACTGTCAGCCTACTTGTGCACAGAACATCTTGTTTCCAAAAAAGCTGGGACGCTGTGGGATGCTCCAGGCCTGTCACCCACTGAAAACATTTGACACAATTTGAAACCAAAAATACAACAAAGGAGACCCCGAACTGTTGAGCAGCTGAAATCCTATATCAAACAAGAATGAGAAAACATTTCACTTTCAGAACTACAACAGCTAGTTTCCTCAGTTCCCAAATGCTTACAGAGTGTTGTTAAAAGAAGTGGTGATGAAACACAATGGTAAACATCAAATTCAAAATGGGCACATATTTTTCAAAAACAGTAACATTTCTCAGTTTCAACATTTATGTTGTCTTTGTACTATTTTCAGTTAAATATAGGGTTTAAATGATTGGCACGTCACTGCATTGTTTTTATTAACATTTTGCACAGCGTCACAGCTTTTTTTGGAAAAGGCTTCTACAATTTTGTACGATCCACAGTTGCACACAAACAACAGAAAACGTGTGCACGATTAAAAGAAACGAGAACGAATTGTTAATCGTGAGATCGAATTAAGAAAACGTGTGCACAAACGGCAAAACGTTCCTTATAATTTTTACTTTTACCCTTGTCCCCTCCGGGGCTCCATAGTTTAACAATAGTTTTGGACACTTGGGGGCTCCTGAGTGGCACAGCCATAAGCATTGGTCCCATCATTAGGAAATCGTGAGTTCAGTCCCTGGTGATGCTACCGTGGCTGGGAGTCCAAGAGAGCCTCGTTCTCTCTGGGTGGGTAGGCTAGCCCTCCCTCTCCCCCATCACTCAGCATGATGCTAGCCAGCACAGTTGTCTGTTAGCTGACGTAACAGAACCGGCTTAGCTTTCTCCTCCAAGCACGTTCAGCCTCCAGTTGCATTAGCGGCAGTTTGAAAAGACACGGTGTCTTGCTTCACATGACTTGGAGGAAGCTTGTGCTAGCCTTCCCCCTCCTAGCGCTGATAGTATCATGCTTGGGGGAGGCCTCTAGTAGGTGGAGCTGGATATGACCAAAATTCGGGAGAAGGAAAAACACCAAAAAATAAAAGAAAATAAATGAATAAAAAATTCATGCGGGGAGATGCACACAGTATATTTTAAGCATTGTGTGAAATGCCCCTGTTTTTTTGGGGGGAGGGTCTGTATGTATGGTTTACCAGTGGATTTCAGATTTACATATATACCGGAGCATATTGTATCGTAGCATATTGTAGTGTTTCAGAGGTATCGCAGGCATAGTTACAGTCGCTATGCTATGAAGGACCAACTGCGTGCAGTTTTTTTTTCAGATTTGCCACTATTTTACCATCATCATTGCATATAAACCCAATGAAAGGCAAGTGTAGATTCACTGGTCATTTTGGATAGTAAATGAAACGGCTATATGTGCTGTGGACATCGTGACCCCTGGTTCCTATCACCACCGCTGTAAAGAAATCCGAGTTGGTAAGTTTGTCTCCAGTGCAAAATTTTACATAAAAATACACTGAATGAAATCATTATTTAGAACCAACCATTGCTTAAATGGTTCTTTGCATGATGAAATGGTTCTTCAGATTGATGGAGAATGTGTTCTATATAGAACCTTTTTGAAAATGGTTCTTTATAGCACCAAAAAGGGTTCTTCTATTGTTCCAGGCTTGACATCGTAACAATAACACCACCCCTTTTGGTGCTACATAGAACCATTTTCAAAAAGGTTCTTTGAAGAGTCATATAACAAAACATTCTCCATCAATCTAAAGACTAAGCAATGGTTGTATTTATAACTCATAGTTCTAAATAGAGCCATTGCCTTTACTAAAGAACCCTTGAAGAGCCATCGTTTAAAGAGTGTATAAACACTGTATGGCGCGTGCCTGTTTGTGTTTGAGCCTCTGGTTGTCTATGAGCGATGCTGTTGTTGTTTTCGTGCAATTAAAAAAAAAACAATGAACCGACGGGCACTAGGACCCAAGACTCGCGAGAGGGCTTATCACTGTAAATGCGCTTGTATGACTGGGTCTTATAGCTAAAAAGGAATGTTCTGCCCTGTTGGGCCCGTATATGTGACTTTTCCCAGCCTAATATTCGAGAGAGCGCTTATTTGAAGTGGATTCGTGGAAGTAACTCGGCAGAAACCTGCACTGAGAGCGGACTAATCTGAAGAGCCAGGCTTTTAGTTCAGCGCAGAAATCCTCTGACTGTCACTCGGTCACCATCGCAGACAGTCGGGCGAGCCAAGATGGAGTGCCAGTGGAAGCCAGACGAGCAGGGACTTCAGCAGATCTTACAGCTTCTGAGAGAGTCTCAGTCTCCTGACACAAGCACGCAGAGATCCGTCCAACAAGTATCCTTCACTGCTTGACGCGTTTTTTCCCCAATCACGTCTAAACTGGTTCGCTGTGACGGGAGTCACGATGCTTAGCCTGCCTGTTAGCTCAGAATGCTAACTTGGCTTAGCGAGCCAGCTTCTGCTTACATGTGCTTTCCGGAGCTAGTTTGGTCGGACTTTAGTTCACATTTGAACTAACAGTATAGCAGAAGTGTGGTTAACGTTATATGTTCAGGCCACGAATTTAACAGGTGTAATATAGTCAGCTAATGCTGACCAAGCTAGCTGTTTACCTGTGGTTTTACATCTACACAGGGCTGAAGTTGGCTTCCTTTTAAACAGCTTTCTCCTTAGGATTCTCCCGTCCACCTTAAACGGTGTAGCGGTTACATCCTGGCGCCAGTAGGGTTACATGAGCCAAACTGTAACTGTTGCACCTTTTAAGGTGGAACTGAAAACTCGGTTAAGAAGCTAACGCAAGCCTGGTTGGTTTCACTAATCAGCGCCAGCGTCTTTTGTAGCTAACGGTTCACGCCCTTTCGAGCACCTAACTCAGGAGTGAGAGCCGTGTACACAGTGTCAGTCGGTGTGATGAATATTACCAGGTAAAATTACAGATAAAGCCATCACATACGACTCTGTTGCTGTTAATAGCTCACTAACGACAGTAGCTGGCTACACCGTATGGCATGTCGATATTAATCCCACTGTATGAACGTCAGAGCAATTGAAGGGGAGTTCCACCAATTTTTCAAAATGTCTGCATAATTCAGTGGAGGAGATATAAACAAAGTCATTCAGAGTGGTTTGTTGTAAAATGGTGCATCTGTAGAGAAACTCACTGATTTATCTACAGCGGTGTTAATAGGAACCAGGAGTCCCGATGTCTCCAACACAAATATAGCCACCAGTGAACTTACACGTGTTTATATGCATTGTTGACGATGGTAAAATAGTGGTAAACTTGAAGAGTTTTCTTTGGGACCCGTTTTGTCTTAGAACACTCTTCATGTGTCCCTCCACCATGAATAGATTAAAATAAATTGATCATAATACGTTCCTATTCTTAACCATTTATGTAATAGCTTTATGAGGGAGCTTTTAGAGGCATTAAACACTTTCTGTCATCACCACTGTTCACAGTTTTGACTGCAAGTTTCTCTAGAACAGAGCGTTTAACACAAACCAACTCTGATTGACTTTGTTTACATCTTCTGCAGAAATTTTGAAAAATCGCCCTGTATCAGTATGTATGACTAGATAAAGCTGGGCCTAGCTCTAATAAATAAAAATGGTGCACTGGGCTATACTTGTGGATACAGACATGCATATATTGTCACATAAAACACTTTAATTCAGTCTAATCATTATTAGGTTAAGCATTCTGCATTGTGGTCGAATGCAGTATGTAGGGGAGAGTGGGAGGTACAGCCTAACACATTTTGTTTGCTGCATAATTATATTAAAGTATATTAGCAAGAGTAATACATTTTTTTCATAAAAACAACCTGCATGTCTCTGCTACAAAGGAAAACAGAAAGCTTTTGTGAACAGTTCAGCAGAAAATGAATTGTAACAGTCTGTATAAAAGTCCAGTAAATGGGTGTAAACACAATTAATTCAGTTTAATTCTGTCTTGTTTGAACCAGACGAGTTTTCCACCTCAAATACATAAGCAATACCTGCATAAACAATGCATAAACATAAATCTAATTAGTGAAAACAGGCTGCGTCTAATTTAATTAAGACCACAAAGTAGAACAGCAACTATCGGCATGAGAAACTGAAATATATTTTTTATAGTTTCTGAACAATATGTGTATAAAAACCTCCAAAGAATAAACTATTCATATGGGGGAATATAGACGTCTCCCATTGTTTCTCTTGAGAGGCCTAGTTGTAACACTGCATTACAGCTAATCCCACCATGTAGAGTCTGTACTTTAGCTTGGCTAGCTCTCACTATGAGTTGTTTATGTGCTTCAAATGGGGTTAAATATAGCCACCAAGAGGGTGATTTAAATAATATATGCATGACTTACAGAACCACTCAGTGATAAGTGTTGAGTGTGAAGTTGTACAAAGTGACATGTAATAGAAATGTAATTACATTTTCTTGTGGCATAGTACTGTAATCCAATACAGTTTAAATTCTTGTAACAGTTACAGATGTAATAAGAATTATGTTACGTGTTTTACTTATTTGTCTCTAAGCAGACAGTTTTAAGTATGTGAGATGCATTTAAAATACATATTTCTTCCACATATTATCTATGCCTGTCCTTGTTTGTAACTCGATGAACAGTCTATCAAATCATTTAATCCTGCTAGAATGAAACTGATGGATAAAGATTTCTGTGCTGAGACGAGGAAGCCCCGACCTCTCCTGAACAGGCCGACAGGCAGCTCTAAAAGCTTTACGTTTTATTTTTAAAGATTGGACTTTAAGGCAGCTGTTTTTGGACCATTTGTTCCAGCTAGTTTCTGGGTTTTTCAAACAGCATTAGCCAAATTCATCATTTTAAGAAAGCAGAACTGGGTGTGTCCTGTTCAAAGGCAGGAATAGTAACAGGCCATTTAAATGATGTTTACTGTGGTTGGCTGTTTCTTTCTATATAAAGTACTGAAAGGACTGTTAGCTTTTACCTTGTGCTTTCCAGGTAGTGCAGATTTACATGGACTTTAGAGAGAAACGTGATAGTAGTGATATTGTATTTTTTCAGGAAGTAATAAGTGAAGTAAACCCATTACAGTTTGAGAGTAATAGCAATTGTTACTATTCCAACAGTTATGAAACACTTACTTTCATTGTTTAAATTGTTGTCAAAATTCACAGATAACGATTAATTATCCATGTTACATTTAACCTGGATTAGGTTGCACCTCACTGTCCCTTACATACAGCGTGTGCATGTGTACTGTGCATACACTGAATTCCATTAAGTGATGGCTAACAAAACTGCCTCTTCTTCCTCCTAGCGCTAGCATTTACAGGTGCTGCTTGCTGTGTTGTTTGTCTCTTCATCTAATATACCACTATGAGAACTACTCTCCTTAACATACTTCACAGAAACTTGAACAGCTCAATCAGTTTCCAGACTTCAACAATTACTTGATATTTGTGCTCACAAAGTTGAAGTCAGAAGGTAGAGTATCTTGGGCTCACACTTCTAGTAGGCAAATGTATTCTTCTTCTTCTTCTTCGTATTATTATTATTATTATTATTATTGTTATTATTATTTACAAGCTTCTGTACAGTAGAGGTTTCAGGAATAAACAAGGGGTGGACGATGTGGCTGAAATGTAACATCATGATACACGATATGCATCATAATATTTCATTTTCTTGAGGTTTGACAAGTTGGAACAGACAAAAATGGACAAGAAGAGACAAATTTAAAGATTATATCAAAAAATAATATGGTGATTCTTATTGTACATTTCTCCTACTGTTCTGCACTAAATACAATTAAACAGTACTAAACGTGCTATTTGTAATAAAACATAGAATTCAGTTTGAATGACATCCAGAGGATATTGTGACATAATTTATCACAGTATCGACAATATATTGACATATTGCTCATTCCTAGAATGAGCTGTTTGAGAATATGGGTCACTCTAATTTTAAACCTCAAAGGACCCATTGCGTTTAAGGCTGCTGTCTTCACAACACTGATTCTCTTTGTTGATTAAGACGGCCTTATTGTTGATACTCCATAGCGTTGTGCTAATTGTGTCACATGCTTTTGAGCACTGGGGCATCATATGTGAAATGAGGACATTACACACAAATTCATCTACGTGATACAATATGATTGCTTGAAAAGATCAAAACTAAATATTTAGTAATTTAGTAAACAGTCCATTTCATTTTTAGAACACGCTTTAAAACTGCAGTGTCTCTTTTTTGGTGTAACCTAAGGCCGTTTTGATTGTTTGCGTCAGTACTGCATGCGTACACATAAAGTTTCTGGAATTTCGGTGTGGAAAGAGTATGATTGTTCAGCAAAAGGGATTTCTCCCTGAACTTAGCATGCATTTGTGGTTAAATTTAAGGGGAATTCCGTGATGTTTTTCTAAATTTGTGCATTTTTCATTCGCTGATCTTAAGATGCATTTTAATCTTCCTCTCTCTTCACGCTTTGTTTGTTTACATCTTCACTCAGCACTTCGGGCTTACAAGGTGCTGAGGGATGGTGCTCCCAGGCTCATCCAGTGCATATTCTCATAAGATAATGGCATAAGACCATTGGAAAATCTACTGGGCAGAGTATCGCTTATATATATTATCCTGGCAGACTCTCCTGTCAAGCAATTTGCAGTTATGAGTACCTTGCAGAGGGTACCAGATGTACAACTAAAGTATCTGTAACAGTGCAGCCGGTACATTTATATACATGTCCTGGGAATGTCCTGAAGTAGCAGATTTATGGACCACTACAGTAGACGTTTTCTCCAGATTACTTGGCCTCAGCATTTCATTATAGCCTCAGTTATGTCTGTTAAACGATGATTCAGACCTTTAGTTTTCTAGGACTCAAAATGCTATTGGCAGGATTTACAGCCACAAAAAACACTTGTAAAGTTCTGGTTATGTAGTTTTCTGAGCATAGTTTGCATTGAGTGTCTTACAACCAGGCTCAACAAAGCAAAGCAGTCCACTATTTGAATTGGGAGAGTGTATTAGATTCAATCGAAGAACTTTAGTTTTCAACTAAATCTGTGTACACCAAACACTGTATGTTGCTGTCTTGTCTTTCTCTACCCCCTTCCTCTTTTTGAGAAAGGTGATAAAAAGATAATAACAAAACCTTGTTGATGTACAAACAGTCATTGAGAGTGGATTGATGTGAAATGGTTGCTAACTCAGGGGTTTGTGATGTCTATTTTGCAAATATAGCCAATTTATATTCAAAACGACCAGTGAATCTGACCTCACCTATGTCTCAACATTGATGATGGTAAAATAGTGGTGAATTCAAAAACATATGTTTTCTTTGGGTGCTGTTTTGCCTTACAACACCCCCCATGTACCTCTCTGCCATGAATGGTTGTTTTATGCCAAAACATTTGTAAAAGAATGTCTCAAACATTTTCAGAACCATTTAATGTCACTTATTTACTGTGATGTAGCTTTTAGAGACATTAAATGTTTCAGAGGTCTGTTTCGTATGACTACTGTTATCAGTAATTCTGTAAGTTTCTTTTTGCTGTGGAGAATGACTTTGTTTACATCTTCATGATTGAATTCTTCAGAAACATCAGATGAAAAAATAGATGGAATTCCCCTTTAACATAAGCCATGTAATGAGAGAATGGCAGCTGTTGCATGTCATAACAGAACTGACAGTAAGTAACTTTGTACAGTTATTTAAACCAGTTCCTAATTTCCCTTTGTCTCCTTATCCTTGCAGATGAGCCCACGCGTTCCCTTAGTGGACTGATCTTGAAGAACAATGTCAAAGCCCATTACCAGAACTTTCCCAACGGAGTCTCTGACTTCATCAAACACGAGTGCTTGCAGAACATCGGAGACTCTTCACCTCTCATCAGAGCCACAGTGGGTAAGTAGGGTCCTAACATCACAGCTGTCCAAAGTCTTACAGGATGCTGATCGCCATTCAGATTAGGGGTGCGTGATACATATCAGCGGCTGGTGTGTCATTCACCAATAAATGAAAAATGTGATCATTATTAGTTTGATAATATTATTATCAGTTTGTGCAGAAGTACAGTGCACATTTTAATGCAAAATTACTGTTTATTTACTGAATTTAACATAATGGAAAAAATAAAACATAAAATGTGGCATGTACATTTCTGTGGCACAATGTATAATTTATTTGTTCCCCCTTAATGAATAAATGATTAAAAATGTTCATGTCAAATGGATGACACTGCTCTGCCAATAAGAATCCTTGGGCAAGACTCCTAACATTACATTCATCCACTGCTATAAGTCGCTCTTGATAATATTTACAATAATTATGGCTGTGTAAAATTAATCAGTAGTCTGCATATTAACCTTTTTTGTCTTTTATATACAGTTGTGTGCAAAAGTTTGAGCGCCCCGGTCAAATGACATGTTTTGTTGGTTTTCTAAGTTAAATTAGTTAACCAATTTTCTAGAGAAGATTTTCCTAGAGAAGAGTTTTACTGCAAAATTACTGTTTATTTGTGAAATTTAATATTGCATAGAACTGCATTTGAAGTTTGTTTCAAAATAAAAAAAAGTGAACCTACCTTATTGTTATCAGAATTGACCATAACAAGGTGTTAATTATCGCTTATCACTGTTGGATTTTCCATTTTGATCCATTCCTAATTCAAATTAGAACCAGCTTTATCACCTGGAGAAAGGTGTACCTAGTTCAGCATTTTTACTCTGAGACATAAGAAACATGATCGTTCCCTCTCTCTCTCTCTCTCTCTCTCTCTCTCTCTCTCTCTCTCTCTCTCTCTCTATTTCTCTTTCTCTTTCTCTTTCTCTCTTTTTGTTCTTTTTTGCTTTTCATTCTCTTCTTTAGTTCTTAACTATGACTCTGATCTTCAGGGTTCTGTATTTTGTTCCTAAACATCATAGTGACCCACAGCATTGTCAGAGGTTAAATTCCATTCTCCGCCCTCTTGTCTCGAGCCCTCACAGATGTATTTACGCAGCATAAGCAGTGCGGGAGAGAGTCAGGGCATGAAGTTTGTGTAAAAACTGGGACAGCCTTGCTGACATCACTCTTTGCATCACTGTATACAAGTGCCTAAGAGAGATGAAGTGAGGAAGGAGGCAGACTACACTCTTGAAAAAAAGCTGGTTCTTTAAGTGTTCTTTAGTAAAGAGAATGTTTTGATTTAAAACCATGAGTTCTATACAAAACCATTTCATATCTAAATGGTTCTTTGCATGGTGAAATGGTTCTTCAGATCGAATGTGTTGTAAATGGTTTCATATGGAACCTTTTTAAAAATGGTTCTATTTAGCACCAGAAAAGGATGGGGCTAAATAGTGCTATTGTTACAAACTTGATAGCAGACCCTTTTTTATGTTTGATTATTATAAATGTGGTCTGTAAATCTGAACAGTGGTAACAATAAAATGTTTGGCAGTGACAAACTGAGGTCTTGTTCCCTGAGAGCTGAATTACCACTACAGGAAAAAATAAAACAAGTGGCGCTTTGTTTAAGCCTGCCCGTAATGTTGAGTTACAGTAAGTATTATAATAATAAATATGTAGATGAAGGTTATAACTCCTCAGGCTGCAGCATCCTTTAACTGCATTAACATTTTAATGTGCTAGTTCACTAGTCGAGCTGTGTGTGAACAGGTTTCCAGGACGAGCAGGTGGCATGTTTTTCATGTGAAAACTGTTGACAAAATGAGTTAAGCAGTTGTAAGTAGTTAGCTAGCTAATGCATCTAAAGCTGACAAAACAAGCTGTCGAATGTTCAGCATTTTTTAATCAGCCTTCTAATTTACAGAAGCTGATACTGCCTAGAAAATTTCGGTGACCAACATTATTAATGCAGCATGATTATCATTGTAAATGTTGATTAGTTTATTATAACTAAGTACACTCAAGTTGATTCCGGCTCCTCTGACTATATGGAAGGTGTTTCTCTAGAATATCTTTTCATATGTTCGGATCTTTAGGCTTCTGAATGGCTGGTTCATGATTCCTCTGATTGTATTCTTCCATCTTTTTGCGTCCTCTTTTACCTTCAGCTCTTCCAATTCCAAGCATAGTGGTCTTTTCCAATGAATTTGTTTTTCTTGGAATATGTCCAAAATAAGCTTCAGCTTGGTTATCTGGACTTTGAGTGAGAGGTGAGGCTTTATTTGTTTGAGGATCCGTTTGTTTGTTATCTTTGCTGTCCAAGGAATTCTCAAAAGTCTTTGCCAACTCCAAAGGTTATTCTGACAGATCACTTACAGTGTTTGGTTTGTCAGAACACCGGCATGGAGGGCTTCCTGATGTTGGCTTCCAATTTGCCCGCCTCTTAATAATTTTTTTTCTGTCTTAAATGGTGCAGCAGTTTTATTCTTGTTCAGTTTTGTCTATTTACTAACCGTTCTGCTGCTTCAGAATCAGCCTGGTTCTTTTCCAGTGGCCAAAGACAACATTGTGCTTTTGTGGAAAGCTAAGTCAGACGTCCATATGTTCCAGTGAAGTCAAGTCTGACTTTATCTTTCATTTTAAGAAGATACTCACAGACTTTGTTCTGCTCGCATGGATACAGCAGTATAAGAAAATTGCTGCTTTCTTCAGGTTATGTTGTTAACTCACTCTAGATTAGATTTCATTTTGAAAAACAAAAACAGAAAATGTATATTTGTTTATGATATAATGGACATTGTCACTCAATTGGTATGATTCTGGTTAACCTGCTGACCTGTAAGATACATTGATTCTTGGTCTGTTTTTTCCTGTTCTAAAATGTGATTAGGGTGGTACCACATAATTTCATGTAATCTTAAATTGCCAATATATTAGTGTACATTATTTTCAATTTTTTTTATTTGATATGATGCTCTTGATATTAATTAGTAAAGCGGAGTATGTCAATCCCCCTTAAACGTGGTGGAGTTGCTGTGACACATGGCCTGTGCTGGCTTATTGCTTTCATAAAACATTGACAAGATGTTATGTGGTAAAATACAAGTTCAATAAATAATGAATTTTATTTTTATTTAATTGCAAATAAACAGTTGTCATGTCAGTCAGTGTAGATCATTAACAGTATGCTTAGTATCAGTTATAAAGGAACATATTGGTCCTAAGATTTTTCCATAACACAATGTTTTTAGTAACTTGCTGCACTGATACAGAATCCAGCTGACCATGATATTTTACTACAGCTTTTAATTTTACAAACCAGAACTGTTTTAATTTTGAATATATCACCCAAATTTGGAAAGTATTTATACATTGAATGTGGTCACTTTGTCTCTCAGGTATTCTCATCACCACAATAGCCTCTAAAGGAGAGTTACAGAACTGGCCAGAGCTTCTGCCCAAACTCTGTTTGCTGCTGGATTCAGAGGACTACAACACATGTGAAGTAAGTCACACAAATATGCTTTTTAAAGCAATTTCAGTCACCAGCACACCCTTGGTTTGACAAAGGCTTTGTCATTCAGTCTGTTTGGGAGGAAAAAAGGGGAGTTCTGCTCAGCTGTTAGCTAAGCTGTTCCTGTAGAGAATAATCTCAAATGCCTAGTCAGGTAGTTTCTGCTATTTGTTTTCCTGTGTTGTTTCTGATTGTATTCCAGTGGTGCACACGGTAGTATAAAAGCTACTTATGCCACAAGCAGTCTGCCAAACCCTTGAAGAAGAAGATACCTGTATGATGATTGTGTGAAATGAGACTGAGGAAGCTGAAATAATATTAAAATTGACGTCCCGGATGTGTCTTCTTTGAAACATAGTGATCAAAGATCAATCACTTACCGAGAAAATACTGTAAATAGAGAAATACAGTATATTATTTATTATTTAATAACTTTTTGGAGTTCCCAAAAGGTTGACATTTTGAATAAAACATCTTGAAATAGATTCGTATGCAAAGATTTGCGCACCCCTGGTCAAATGAAATGCTTTGTTGAAAACACATACGCTAGAGAGAACATGCTTCTGCACATTTTAATGCACATTTACTGTTTATTTGCTGAATTTAACATATTGGATCAAAATGTAAAATATGGGTTGTCAAATTTTATTATTTTTTTTTTCTAACATGAAACTCAGCAAATAAATAGAAATTGTGCACTAAAAGTTGCAGAAATGCTATATGGGGATGTGTACAGTATGAAAATCAACATGTCATTTGAAATAGGTTACTCACAACTGTACCTTCTGTTGTGTAGCTTACAGTATTCAAATCCAAGTGATTCCAAACTTTTGAATGCTAGTATGTGCTTAAACACATAAAAAGGTGTTGCTACCAGTTAATCAGCAAAATCTTCCTTTAACTGAAAAAGCAGATGTACTGTCTTAATGTGGGCATGTTTTATATTAATTGTAGGTTTATTTCTGTATCAGTGATCTATAAATGTTCCTTTTGTAGAGCCCAAAGTATGGTCGTATAGTTGAGTTGTTTTACTGTTATTATGCATCTGTTGTTGCTGTAGCTAATCAATGGAGGAAATACTAGACTGGGCTTTTAAAGCATACACAGAACTCATATATATGGCCTTGTTGTGTGCATTTTACTGAGGATCTCTCAGGCTGCAGTTAGTGTAGGTCAAGGCTCCCTTGCAACAAGCACCCAAAAATAGCTGTTCTATCCCACAGTGCTTTGCGTTGGCTGGAGGGGATCCAGCAGGAGTAAATAAAAGTGGGAGTGTGTATGAATCTGTGTGTTGAAGTTGACTGATGAGTCTGAATCGATGAAGTAATTCTCTGAAAAATACTGTATCTTTCTCTCTGTCTCACTCTTGTGACTCAGCTGCGTTCTTTCTTTATTTTACATGCAGACAACAACAATGACACCGTTTACCATTTAAAATGCACTAGTGCAATTTGCTTTCGAAATTGAAGTTATAATAAAGGCAGTTTTAATATACAAAAACACAAATTAAATAACTTTATAAAATGTTTGCTGTATCATGTCTGAATTGTGACTGGTAGTCAGCCTCTCGCTGTGGAATACACATGCTAACTTACTCTGACATTCTAAAAAACATTCTTGTAGCATAATACAATGCAAAGTATGAAGTTATGAATGGCCTGTATGTTAGCATGGCTTATTTGTGCCGATGTATTCTATCAATTCTATATAAAGCTCGAAGCAGGTGTGAGACTCAAAACATTTCTAGAATTTTGTAGATGACTTTATTTAGCCTTGCCTCCAAACCTTTTTATGGTCTACAGTGGTGGCCTGTTCCGACTGCTATGCAGTGATGTCAAGCAAGTCATATGTTATCTTAATGGGCTTAAGGCTGCGTCTCCTCTAGTAACTGAACAATGCTATTGCAGTTTTTCCCTCCATTTGCGCTACATTTGAAATCAAGGACCCACCGATATGAATTTTGTGATCGATGCTGATCACAGTCTTATGGGCCCAGCATTCTGATTCTGAAAACCAGTAACCAATAATAATAAAGCAGCTGATATAATTGAAAAATTATACATAAATTTGTTTAATATTTTAATTTTATAATCCGTAATCAGTGATTGCCAATTGCAGAGCAGTGTACGACACAGTTGTTATCTAATTTATATTTTTCTTATATTATTTTTGTATTTTTGTCCACTCATCCTGCAGTTTTTGAGATTTTGACACCATTCCAAGTCTAAAATGTTCGGTCTGTGTCCTTGCATACAGCTTTTTGGTCAGACATGCAGTTTTTGCGGTTTTCATACAACAAAATGGCTATTTTTTTTCTCCCCATGGAAAGGAACAGTGGAATTTTTTGGCCAAAAATTTGTGCACTCAACTTGCATTACAATAATACAGGTACACTAGCAGCATCCTCTTATCCATGTAGGCTACCATAGTAGCTGCCTAGCAACATCCCACCGACCACCTGGTGGGATACCATAGCAATCTCTCTTTTTTTTTTTCTTTTTTTCTTTTCAACTTAGATGAGGAATCGCTGTTGTGAAAGCTATCCTCTGTTAATCACCTATTTTTGCCGGTAACGCTGTCACCATGGCAACATTTCCATTTCTGTATGCCACTGCCAGTCACAAACGACAGTATTTAAAGGCAACATGTGAACGTAGCCTTGTGGAGAAAAAGTTGTTGTTATCACAAATAAGACCACAAGTAGAACGCTTCTCAGCCTATCAGACTGTATTGTCAGAACTAACAAACTATAATGTTTGATACATAAGATATCATATAAATTCTGCTTAGGTAAGTAAAATGGAGGAGGGAACAATTAGTGAACCCTTACATATATATATCTGTATATATGAGTTTCTTTTAAATATTAGATCGATTGTCTTTCATGTCACATGTCTGCTATGGATTTTTGTGATCTCATTCTGGGTTTAATTTAATGCAGTAATAGCAAAATAATGAGCGGTGCTGTCAATGATGATTGTTGGTGGCTGCGCCTTCAATTGTTACACATTTTTGGACGCTGCGTGTCATCTGCATGACACGTCCAGTGTACGGTAGCCTTTAGTCTGCCTTTATATCAACAGATGTAAATGCACCTTTCTTTATTATCAACTTTTGAGATTGCCAACAGGTTTTGTTAACCTTACAAGTGTATACAGTAACCTCCACACTCACTGCTTTTTGATAAATTGTTTAAAATTTTAGGAGGATGTACTTCTTTGAATCATTTTCCCCACTGGAAATTTTTTCTCATTTTCAATGTGAGATCACGCTGATTTAAAAACAAAGCATTTTTGTGCTCATCTTTATTCATCTTGACTTATGAAAATGCAGCTTGGTTTGACCTTGAAAGCTTCATGACAGTGTATTCCTGCTCCTCTGCTCTCCAACTCGATGCGTGCAGCAACTCGCGTAGTGCTGGCTGATGTCGGAGACGGTTGCCATGGCGACAGCCAGCCCCAGACATCTCTTGTTGCCACGGCGCCGTGTGTCTCATGGCCTGATTAGATTCCTCACAGGTGGAAGTGTGCATGAGCTCAAAAGGAAGAATTCCTCTGCTCGCTGTGAGAGGGAGATAGGAACGTAAGGGACGTCACGCTACAGATAAACCTGTGCAGCGTTAAAAGCCTGCTTGATGGATTACTGGAAAAAGGAATTCATACGAAGCTCACATTTTCTGTTGCCTTGCTTTCACACGACAATAGTCATTCAGGATTTATTGTAACAGTCCAATTGTTCTAGTCTTAACAACAAGAAAGCATCCTCAGACTTGTCCTTGGCAAGTAATGTGGTTTACAAGTGTGCACTTTGCTTAACTGTGCACTTTGGAACTAAACCAAATTAACGTTAAACGGCAAAAGAAGCAGTTTGATGGTTCTTAGGGCTGTGTAGGCTAGGATGGATTTTCCTTTACTGTTTGTATAGAAACATATTTACAGTGCCATGGTTGTGAGGATTAGAGAAATTCGAAACCTGATTAGTCAGTACTGCCTTTGAAAGGCATAAAATTTCTGCAGTTTACAGAGAATAAATTTCATGAGAACAGTCTGCCAACCAAAAATATCCAACTAACAGTGGTGCTGTGGTCAACAGATACCACCAATGAAGGGCTGGAGGAGGGGTTGTCACATATATGCATATATATATATGTGTGTGTGTGTGTGTGTGTGTGTGTGTGTGTGTGTGTGTGTGTAATGTACTATACATAAACATGAACAAGCGTGGCTTCTGTAGCTGCTGTGTTGCACTTTATACAGTCCGATACATTGGTGTAAATGACTTGACTGAAAGCATTGGAACAGAGACTAGGTCTGAAAATGGTATTAGGTATTAGGTCTGAAAATGACTGTTATTAAAAATGTTGATGACGAAAACAGTTAAAAAATGGATGAATAGAAAACTCTGCTCTTTCCCCCCATTTCAAGTACAAAACCAGTATGTTCAGAGTCCATAGCTCAAGTCAAAAGTGGAAACCTTAAGCGTCAGCACCACTGCGAAACAAAACACTTTAAATAACCTACCCACAAAATTCAGTTCTGAGGACAAATAAAGTCAAAACTCAACATGAAACGTCCACCATTGTGCTCGTCCATTCCCTGACAGCACAAGAAAATGAAATGCTCATTTAGAACAGCCTTTGTTGATTTTTGTTTTAATTCTTAATATTTTATTTATTCTTATAAAAATCAGTGTACACAATGTGCAAAAATCTCAGCATACACTTATTTTTTTATTTGTACATACAACCATATTAGTGTCACTGCTTTGCTGAGAATGATCAACTACACTAATAATATTTGGTCAGCGGTGGTCCTGTGGTAGTCTCTTGCCATGGATGGATGGGGTAGAGGGGGCTGGTAAATTGTTCAGCAACAGATGCTGAGGCTACATTCAGTGATTGTAAACCTACAAAGTACATCTGTGTGTTAGGGGTTCCTGATGAAACGGCTAATGAGTGCAGCTACAATTTAGGTTTACTTCATAATCTGGCAACTCACTGTATATTCTTTGTGTCAGTGTACCCTGACATCGTACCCTGTTCACCATGTCTAAAACTCCTGCCTGCTTCTTTTTGTGTCTTTCTCATTTTCTCTTAGGGGGCCTTTGGAGCTCTGCAGAAGATCTGCGAAGATTCCGCTGAGATTCTGGACAGTGACGTGCTGGACCGACCTCTCAATGTCATGATCCCAAAATTTCTGCAGTTTTTCAAACACAGCAGCCCCAAGATTCGGTAGGATGCACTTCTGTTCTGTCTGCAAACATGAAATAGGGTTGGATATTAGCAGCAACTATAAATTATGATGTGATGTTATACGACATGATGTGATGACGCAGTATATTGTATGCACAACAGACATTTTCATTTGTAAATACAAAGGCATCAGAACAGGCAGTAGACCAGTGGTCACTAACGTTTTGCCTAGAGCTCTACGTTCCTGCAGAGTTCAGTTCTAACCTGCATCTAACGTGCTCTGCATACCTAACACTAATTCATCTGATTTTCTACATTGTTCCTGAAATCTTTATTTTTTTAAAGATGCAGAAACAATGAAGGGACAACACATCCAAGTCCAGGATTTCTGCTCTAATGATGAAGCAAAAATAAATTAAAAGCTTCTGTGCGGTCAATTATGTATAATAAAATGTGATATTAAAGATCACAGTCCAGTCAACAGTCGTGTCAGATACTGAGACTGCTCACGTAAAACGTAAAATTTAAACCTCAGAGACCGAAAGCTCTATTTTCGTGTGGAACAGAGCCTAAAACCTGGGGGACAAACATCCAAGCTAGTCTGTATGCATTATCATAAAAGCAGCCCTGATATCCATTGAGTTAAGCAGAACAATTTAGACCAACAGTTTCAAAATGCAGCTCATTCCTACAGTGAGTTCTGCTTATTCTATCGGCTAAACTAAAAACGAATCGTCTGGAAAGCAGACAGGCGTGGGACAGGGACACTACATTTTATTCTGCATTTACCGTCGAGGTGGCGAAGAATTTGACTATATTGCACCTAAATGCATTTCTAACATTGTACTTTCAGACTGTATCATGGTGTGGTTATTTGTTGTTGATGATGCGTTTAAATATAGCTTCGTGATTCAGATTCAGAGAACTGTCAGTCCAGAGTATCATCGGGTACATGAATCAATTAGGACATGAGTTTGTAAAGTGTAGCATTCCAAATAATTACAGTCATGTTGCTGCTTTTTGTTGTAGATCTCATGCCATTGCTTGTGTGAACCAGTTTATCATCAGCAGAACACAGGCCCTTATGCTGCACATAGATCCTTTCATTGAAGTAAGTGGCTTCTCTGACTTTTTGTGTTTATCTGACCTTAAACTATTACCTCCATCTAAAGCAGCTCAAGTGTTTTCTGGAATTCAGCTTTTGAATTCTGGTAGGAGATGTTGAAATGTTGACTGCACTCTCTCAAGTACCCACAGAGTGTTTTTCTGAGTTTTCTACTAAAAGTAATATGAATGTCAATTTACAGAAATATCTGCAGTGTATACTATTTGTAAATTCTGTTAGTAATTTTGTAAGCTGTGAAAACTAGAGATGAGTTGACCCCAAGCTTATTTGTGTGCTGCAGAACCTATTTGCACTGGCAGGAGATGAGGAGCCAGAGGTGAGGAAGAATGTTTGCAGGGCTCTGGTCATGCTGTTGGAGGTCCGCATGGACCGCCTCCTCCCCCACATGCACAACATTACAGAGGTGAGGTCATCACATACTCTGGCATAGGGCCTTGAGCGTCTTCAAGTGTATTACAAAATGACCATGAACTTACAGTATGTGGTCTTAAAGGAAAATCCTTCATAATTTCTGCATAATTAAATCAGATATAAACAAAGTCATTTAGAATGATTTGCCGTGAAACGCATCATTGTGGAAAAATGTACCGATATTCTTCACAGTCGTGGTTATAGGAACCATGTGTCACAATGCCTTCAACACAAATAGAACCATTCTATTTATAATGTATATCTGTCCAAAATGACCAGTGAATCTGTTTTTATATGTAATGTTGATGATGTAAAATAGTAGTAAATGCGAATTTTTTTTCTTTTGGTGACTATTTTGCCTTAAAGCACTCTGCATGAATGGATTAAAAAAATATCTTTTAGACTAACATCATATTTCAAAACTATTGTGAAACAATGTCTCAGACATCAGGAGCATATTCATAACCATTGTATATAATGACTTTTTGTGAGGGAGCTTTTAGAGGCATTGAACTCTTCAGATGTTTGGTTACTATCACCATCACTGTAACCAATTCTAACTCTAGAAACTTTTCTAGAAAAGAGCTTTTCGTAAAAAACCACTCCGAATGACTTTGTTTACATATTAGCCATCAAATTATGCAGAAGTTTGGAAAAATAGGTGGAATTCTCCTTTAACATTTCTGATATGGTAAGTTTCTCTACAACTGAGTGTTTCCCATTTTGCCTTGACTTTGAATGACTTTGTTTACATTTTAATGGTTTAGTCATGCAATTTTTTTGAAAATTCATGGGATTTCCACTTTAATTCCTCTAGTACCTGTTTTGTCTTTCTTTGCACATATAAGTACTGTTATTTTGTCTAGGCTAGAGAGCCAAATTTAAGACATGGATTAATTCTAGTCTAGGATCAAGTTTTGCAATGCAAATGGTGAATCACCACTGGAAACCCATTTTAGTGTATGCTTAGGGCTTAATCTGGGTCTGGGAAGCCAGCACCAACTGCTGGAAGATGGAAAAATGTAGAGGAGAGATGAGACTGAGACACCATCTAGTGGGCATTCAGATGTAAGGCATTTAATAATCAAAGCTTTTTTGTTTTTTTGTTTTTTAAACAAATCTCTCTTTCTATTATGTTTCTTAGTACATGTTGCAAAGGACGCAGGACCAGGATGAGAATGTTGCTTTGGAAGCCTGTGAGTTCTGGCTCACGCTTGCAGAACAGCCTGTTTGTAAAGATGTGCTTTGCGGACACCTGGCTAAGTAAGTTCACACATGGGGGGAAAAACATGCATCTACAAGAAAGACAAATAGAAAGCTGATATGAAACTATAGATGGACCGATAAGCATTTTGTGAGGCCAATACAAATTGCCAATTGTTCTTAAGCAAGATTGGCCAATGTCAGTTCAAATCCTGATGCTGCAACACTTAACTTGCTCAGGCAAAGACACCAAACATGGTTAAAATTATTTTAGCAACCCTAACGTTGCAACAAACTCACGTGAAATAAGCACAGTCTGTAAGTCTGCTCATTTCACGTGAGTTTAAAAGCTGTATGCCTTAAACCATTTTCAGTTGTGTTTTCAAACCAAAATGGCAACAAATTAAATGATTGTTTCAGCGACTTCAAAAGCAATAGGTATATTTCAGTTATTTTCAGACAAAAAAATGTGCATCAGCAGGATAAAATGTTTTTGTCGAAGAACAAAGTGCTATAGGAACATGGCTGTGCAACTGACTCAAGGAATACTGTACAGCATCAGTGGCATTTATTTCTCACAAAGACTACATTTTGGCTTTCTGGCATTGTGGTCTGTACCTCCTCCTCTTGTTCTAGATATTTAAAGCAGTGCTAAACAATTTTTTGACATCTATTCTCATGCAAGACGCAGAGCGGTAGCCTAGAGCAAGCCTGTCAAAAGTTTGAAGCCTTTTATTCTGCTGGTAATATAATGTCTTTGTGCTCCATGGAATGGCTGGTAGTTACACACTTGACATGCAGTCAGATTGTCACTGTGCAGCTCCTCTGCCTTTTCCTAGAGTATTTCAGTGTACATGTTAGACGAGGAGACTCGTTGTCTTCCACAGTTTGGTAAAAATCCACAGTTTGATAGCATATTATCGGTGTTGTGTTATCCAACTTTGCTAGTTGTACTAGCTTCTGATTCTCACTGTACTCAGTTGTATGATGTATTTCTAAAGTGTTGTTGCTGGTTAATGATGTTAAAAGTTAAAAGTTGGTGTTTACTTTGCTTCCCTCATGAGTCACATTAGTTTTTCAGACTTGGCAAATAATGTTGGCTTGGTGTTACTCTTGTAAAGACTGACGAAATATTTCCTTAAAGCAAACTTTGCGAAATTTAGGGTGGAAATTTAGTGTTGGCTGAAATAAAGGAATATTGGTCGATCAACAATGGCCTGTTTAAAGTGAAAGACAGCTAATTCCGATCTATAGTCATGGCAGTTTTTCGTCCCTATGCTCTTATAAAACGTATATTAGTAAGTCATATTAGCATAAAATCAAATACACTTACAATAGGAGGTTATTCTTACCAAAGATTGGAGTCACTTGTAGCTAGATAAAGATGAAGCAAATGTAAAATTTGATATTGGTTGTTTTATATATGAATTAACACCAGAGGTAGTAATTATATTTATGTGGGTAATGATCTGATATTACCATTCTGTCATAGGTTGGTACCAGTTTTGGTGAATGGAATGAAATACTCAGAGATCGACATCATTCTGCTGAAGGTAAGCACGTGCAAAGCCATTTACTTTGACAAGTAAACTGTCGAGACTTGTATTAATCCATAAGACGTTATATTGAGTGATGTGTTTGTTTTGAATGTGTCTCCAGGGTGATGTGGAGGAGGATGAAGCAATCCCGGATAGTGAGCAGGACATTCGACCCAGATTTCATCGCTCGCGTACTGTTGCACAGCAACACGAGGGTGGGGACAGCATTGAGGATGAAGAAGACAATGATGAGGACGATCTGGATGATGATGACACCATCTCGGACTGGAACTTACGTAAGAATCCTTTTTTAAAGTGCAGAGGTCACTGATGTTGGCAGAGTAATGCTAAGTTTGTTTTGTTCTCTCTTTGCAGGGAAATGCTCTGCGGCAGCTTTGGATGTTCTGGCAAATGTTTTCCGAGAAGATCTGCTGCTACACATTCTCCCTTTGCTGAAAGAACTGCTCTTCCACCCAGAATGGGTCATCAAAGAGTCGGGCATACTTGTACTAGGAGCCATTGCTGAGGGTGTGTAACGTATACAATGTACACATGCATAAAAATTATCTGGAAAAATTTGAATCTATATCCTAAAGCCCAAGAGAAGCTAAATCCATGTTTAATAATAGTTTTGTTGGCACACATTATATAGTTGTATGCAAATGTTTGGACAAAAGCTTGCTTTTTTAGCCAACTAGGAGTCTTTCTATTCTGGTTTAGGAATTTTCACCCACTCTTCCTTGCAGAATGCTTTTAATTATGTAATATTCTCTGGTAGTCTTGCATGCACAGCAGCTTCAAGATCTCCTCAAAGATTTTCAATGACATTTTCAACGTCAGGGGACTGTTAAGGCCATTCCAAAAGCTTCAGCTAACGTTTTTCTAACGTAGCTCATGGTACATTTTGAGGTTTGTTTTGGATCATTGTCCTGTTCTGGAAGCCAGACTCTTTTCAGCTTCAGTTTGTTGACTGACTGTGTTACATTGTAATAGTATGCTGCAAGAGGTTGTGTTCACTTATTTTCCACTTTTTCCAAAAAAAAAAAAAAATAAAAAAAATATTTAATTTGGATAACAGTGTCCAAATTTTTGCATACAGATGTGCAAGTTTGTATACAAGTAGGCCTGCAAATTTCTTTCCAGTGTGCCTCGGCCACGGAGTGCATCGTAGTGAAAGTTACAGTACTGTTTTCCTTTCGATAAAACACAATAAGTGGCCCCAGCCCTAATCCAAACTATGAACTCCAACTTGAAGAGTTCCACTCTCTTCCAGTCTGAACAACAGTGAGAAGCAAGCAAAGCATACAAAGACAATTTCTGGTGGTAGAACATCTGTCTGGTTTCAAAACACCATCGGTAGGCAATAGATGTAAGGCTGACTAATCTTGATTCTCTGCATTTTCACCGTTATGTATAATTCTGCATTGTGTATAGGCAGCATTGTGTGTAGTTCTGTTTGACACGCCCTTACAGCTCTCAGATAGGTCTGATAAGCGGATTCAGCAACACTCAACCACTCAAATGACATAAACATTTGAAATATTTTATATAAAATATATAACCCCTGTAACTTTAAAAGGAACGTTGTTTAAATTTTTGTGAAATTTATTGAAAATTAATTTGGATTGATCAACTCTCTCCCTCCAGGTTGTATGCAGGGTATGATCCCGTACCTGCCCGAACTGATTCCTCACCTGGTGCAGTGTCTGTCTGACAAGAAAGCCCTGGTCCGCTCCATCACCTGCTGGACCCTTAGCCGCTACGCACACTGGGTGGTGAGCCAGCCTGCCGATGCCTACCTCAAACCACTCATGACTGAGCTGCTCAAACGCATACTGGACAGCAACAAGCGTGTCCAAGAGGCAGCATGCAGGTCAGTGTTTGTTTGTGCATTGCTTCATTGCAATACTAGAAATAGGTTTTCGTCTAATAATATTTCTATTAACAGTTCTGCCGCAGATTCAAGTCTGTCTTGATGTACCTCACTACGGTCTACAGTTTCACTTGCTTTATCTGCCTTTGCTTTAGTCCTTAATCGACTGTCTTTTAAGTTATTGATTAGTTGCAGATATGGTTAAAAACCTGCTTCTGATACATAGATTTTTATTTAAGTACCCCTAAAGTCATAACTTAAAGACCAAAAAAAATCAGTGTTGGATAATAATGTATTAAATATTTTATGTATTATTGTTATGCCTAAAAAATACTAAAAACGGGATAAGAGCATCTCTAAATATTAACACTCGTTAAGAATGTGAAGATCTATGAATATGCATGAATATGCAAATTGTGAATGCCCCCTTGCGGCCCCATTCCCCCACTGTCCTGCACGTTGTCTCTTTTATGAGATGAGGCAGAGCAGAGACAAGGCTCCCACAGTAACTCTAATAATCAGACCGATTCTGTCTTCATAGCTGTCTTGATTTCACTTGCTCGTGTTAATGAGAATCTGAATTAAAAGTAGCTTAGGCGAACAGCTCCGCACACAAAGACGAAGGGTTACCTGCTCTGATTTGAGTCCGTATTCTCTAAACTTGCTTCAGTGCAGCATCACTGAGCCACAATGAACCTGTGTCGTCATGTGTGTCTGTTTTATCCTTCTCTCTAAGCTAGCATTCCCCTCTGATGCTAACAAGGATATTGGAGCAAAAGTAGCTTAAGCTAACAGCTCCAGAAAAAATACACAAGTTTACCTGCTCGCATTATAAACTTTATCCACAAAACTTGCATGAGTGAAGCTTCAGTGAGCTGGAATGAACCTGTGCTGTGGTGTCTGTAAAGCTAACATCGGTTTGAAATATCAGTCAAATCTAAGCATTGGTCTGACACTGACCAGTTTTTTCTGAAACAGTTATCTGCTAACACCAATTTGATTTCACCCTCATTGAGCATCCCTAGTTATTAACGTCGTAGGTCACTGAGGTACGTTGACGTTAATTGTTGTGTTTTAAAACTGCTAAAATGGACAGTGGTAAATAAAACATACCTTTATATTGCTGCTTGTTGGGTGTATTATCATTAAATGGCCCATATCTTATCTTGTCTTTGCATTTAATTTTTTTCGATCAACTTTCGATCAAACTGATGTTTGTGTGGTTTTATGTACAGAAAACAGTCATAATTAATTTTTGAATGACGTTTTTCCAAACTCTCTTTATCCTTTGGAATTACATATGTTATTTTTGTTACTGTGCATTAAGACTAATATTTGCAAATGTTTTGTATTGTGCCTAATTCAAGAAGCACAGCCTGTATAACTTCAGTATTAATGGGCAGGGCTACACTGCTCTAGGCTGAAATGGGGGATGTAGGTAAATGAGTTGGGTTTTTGTGATGGCACACAAATGAAGAGAAACAGGCTGCAGTTTAGTTTCTATATATGGACTGTATGAACTGAGGAGTGAACAGGACATTTGGAAGCTTTAAAGATGTTTACATAATAATCAAACTTTTTTGTTTAAAAAATTTGCAATTGATAGACTTGCATTGTTTTCATCAGCATTACTCTAGCTTTGGTACAGATAAGAAAGTAATCATTTTATATTTATTTCTCAATCTTTCTGTTTCTCTTGCACAGTGCCTTTGCTACTCTGGAGGAGGAGGCATGTACAGAGTTGGTGCCCTATCTGGCCTACATTCTGGACACGCTGGTCTTTGCCTTCAGTAAATACCAGCACAAGAACCTGCTTATCCTTTATGATGCCATTGGCACACTGGCAGATTCTGTCGGCCTCCATCTCAACAAACCGGTAAACACAAACAAACAAACACCAACCTACACACACGCTTGGTCAGAAATGTGTACTCACTCACATTCACAACCAGAGACATTGGAAACATGGCCATTTCTTTTTCCTAACTTGCGACTTCACTTGTCTCTTCAGGAGTATATTCAGATGTTGATGCCGCCATTGATTCAGAAGTGGAACCAGCTGAAAGATGAAGATAAAGACCTTTTTCCTCTCCTGGAGGTTGGAAAGATTCTCAATTGCTTCCTTTTCTTAAATTGAGATCATTTAGATGTTTCATTTTAAGCTGGTTTCCTTTCGCAGTGCCTGTCATCTGTGGCTACTGCCCTGCAGAGCGGCTTCCTACCATACTGTGAGCCTGTCTACCAGCGCTGTGTTAATCTGGTCCAGAAAACTCTTGCGCAGGCCATGGTGAGGGAGGCTTCACTCAGTGACACTGACACACTGTAAACTTGACTTGAAAATATTCCATTATGTCAGTTATGTCAGTTATGAATGTCAGTCTTAAGATTGTTCCACTGCTTTTCACAGACTCTTTTCTGTGTCTCTCGTAGCTCCATCAGACCCAACCTGAAGTTTATGAAGCTCCTGACAAAGACTTCATGATAGTGGCTTTGGATTTGCTCAGTGGGCTAGCCGAGGGCCTTGGGGGCAACATTGAGCAGCTGGTGGCCCGCAGTAACATCCTCACCCTCATGTACCAGTGCATGCAGGTAATAACATATGTGCTATAAAACACATGCAATATTTGTTTGTTCAGGATTTTTTTTTAGAAAATTCTTCGTTCCTATAATCTGATTGTCTCAGCCACCATCAAACCATTGTAAAATATTCCATATACATACTGCTCAAAAGTCTTAGGCAGCCATAAAACTTGTTACTAAAAATTATTTTAGAAAGTATTTGATTAAATACAAATGAACGTGTATATGGTACCAACACATTAACATACATTAAAGAACAAGATGTTGTTTATTTGTATTTTTTTCTGTATGTACATAATGTGTTTTTTTTTAAACAAAAAAAGCTTTCTGCCAAGTTAAATAGCTTTATGTTTTTTATGTATTTTTGTAATATTTGTTGTTAATATTTTTAACAATATAATAGATGCATCTTCAGTATATGTTGCTGTACAATTAACTCAGGATGCATTTTTGCTTCAGTAACTCGTCTCTGACCCTGTGAATTGTTTTGAAATCTCTTGCAAGTTGGTAACCATAGCTATCATTATTTATTATTACTATAGATAATTATAAGTCGTACTACTGAAAGTAGTATTTAACATCAAAACCTTACTGATTTAAAAAAAAAAATCATACCCTTTCACTATTGTTTTTGTTCTTTTTCTTTTCGTTTTGAATGACTTTTAGACCTCCTCTGTTGAACTGGTGTAGTCCATCATGTATTGTTCCCCAGGTATATACAGTGTGGTCTAAATCAGCCTGCTGGTCTGTTGCTGCTGGCTAATGCCTATCAATTAGGGATGCAACAAAATTCCAGTCACTGAATATTTATGTCCAAAAATGTTACAAAATGGCACTTTCGGTTTCTGGCCGAAAGAGGGGAACAAAGGCCAAAAATTTGGTCCACACAGACACACACACACACACACTAATGGAAATTAGAAATGGCAATTTAAAACATTATTTATTTGCACAAGATTTGTTTCCTTCACTCTCCTGCTCCAGTGCAAATGCATTTAAACAGTCTGAACAGCGGCAGGTCGAAAGTGAAAATGTCGGCCGTGTGGAACTATTTCACAGTTTCTCAACCAAGAATTTTCATTTAAAAGTATCACTAATATTAAATGTAAGGTTGCCTCATTATGTTTTCATATGAAGAAACTAAATTAGGCTTCTTACTATTGTATTACACTTTTTTAAAATCTCTTCTAGGATAAAATGCCAGAGGTACGACAGAGTTCTTTTGCCCTATTGGGGGATCTCACTAAAGCCTGTTTCCAGCATGTCAAACCATGTATTGGTAAGCTACAACACACAAATTAAATTATTGTTCTTAAAAATATATAGGGTAGGAAATGCTTATTATTTTTTTTTTTTAGTGTAGTAGATCTGCCTTGTTTTTACAGATTTGTTAACAGACTTGCCTTTTTTAAAGTTACATATGATAAACATTCAACAGTGACTATGAATAAGTAGTTCCAGCAGTATTTTAAAATGTCATGTTCTTTCTTCCAAGTGTCATTAGTGGGAACTGTGTTTGATAAAGAGATTTGTCTATAGAATTTCAATTAATGGTCTTACTATGCTCAACTGGACTGAGATTTAGGCCATAGTTTAGTCTAATACTTTTCTATCTATACTGTGTAAACATATTTATATGTATGAATAAAAATATTATCTTGTAACAAGTGGTTCGTCATCTAACAAAAAAATTATCTATGTTTCCTAGCGGATTTCATGCCTATTTTAGGCACAAACCTCAACCCAGAACTGATATCCGTGTGCAACAATGCAACCTGGGCCATTGGAGAAATCTCTATTCAAATGGGTAAGCATCTGTTTGCTGTACAGATTTATTCTACGTTATTCTAGTTCTGTGCAGCAGCTGCAAAAAAGAGTTACAGCAATATTTCTGCATGTGTTTTTCACTCTTCCATGTTTACATTTCACATGATGGAGATACAAATTGTTGATTTGTTTCCTGTCCAAGTTGTCTGATTGTTTGACAGTGTTAGACCTTGCTTTGCCAGGTTGGTTGATGAAACTTTTCCCATAATCACTTGGTTTGACAATATAATTTCATCCTGTTTGACAAAATTAAGTTGATTAAGCTCAGAAAAAGTAAATGATTGTTGATTTGAATGAGTCATATAGAAATAAAGTCCCCTTTGTGAGTTCTGCTTTGTTTCAGTAGTTACATAGTTCTGTAGTGCAGCACAGGTAAAATAGATACTTTGATATGCAAACCTAAATCCCTTTGGATTTAATGGCTTCGACTATTGAGGCCCCAGAATGAAAATTATGAAACTAAAACCAAAATCCCGGACACACTGGGCTGAAAACCAAAACTGAAAAAAGCTATTAAAATTATTATAGTAAGCTACTGTATGTGCCACGAAATCCAATATCCACAGCAACAGAGAAGGTCATCCAGGGCAATGGGTTCCATTATGTTTAGTTATAATTTGCACTTTGACACTGTAACAACTTTAAGGACGGGTGGAGGGAGGACACCGGGAGCAGGTGTGGAGACGGAGAGCTGGTTTATTTACACACAACACAAAAACCACTCGGCTTTTCAGCCCACAGACAAATTAAGACAAGACGCTCGCTGGGACTTTTCAGTCCTTTCTTTGCTTTTTTTTGCTTTCTTTTCTTAGCTTCCCTCAGCTTAGCTTAGCTCTGCTCTCCCGTCTCCACCGGTCTCCTTCTCTGTCTGGGCTCTGCCACCTACGAGGAAAGAGATGACTATAAGTAGGCTGGCAGACACAAGACACAGGTGAATATCATCAGCTACTTAGCCCGCTGGTTCAGCACGACCGGCTTCTCCGTCCTGCATTCGACGCCTAGCCATGTCCCCTTCTCTACAGACACTATTGTTTGTGAATTTTCGTTACTTCAAAAAAAAAAAAAAAGGCTACAAATGACTGTAGCGTGCTAGCAAGAACATACCTTTCTGCTTCTGTTGTTTTGTTGTATTTTACATATCGAACAGAATGTCATGGTATCAGACCTGTAGTGGAGAAGTTCTCAGGTGTTGTAACCCCTGTTGATAATAAGCATGAACACTGATTGCAAATCACTTGTCTAATGTTCTATGTGGAAACTTCTAAATAGTTCTACACAGCCGGTATTTTCACTGTTTATCTTCTCAAACTGTTTGAACGTGTCTGCGCTGACCAGAACAGGAGAGAGAAGAGAACAAACAACATTTTAATTACTGTTTCTCATTTTGATGATAATGAAAATTATTTGTAAAGTGTTTCATTTTAACACTTTGTTGTAGGCCTATTTAATAATAATGACTTTATTAATAGAGCACTTTTCTTACCCGTGGCAGCTCAAAGTGCTTTACAAACAGGTTATAACGTTTCAACTGTATTAACAGTAGATAACACTCAGATCTGATACTTCAGGTGTGGTATACAAAGCACAAGAGCCTAGTAAGATCGTTATTTAATTTTTTTAAGTTATAGAAGATTTTTTGACATCCACTCAGAAATATTTGACACACAACTATTCCTGTTAACAGAGTCTTGTCTTTCAGAAGGAATGGAAATGTATAATCGAGTGTCATCAGCTTAGCAATAGATATCCTGTTTCCTGATGACATAGAAGTAGCATATACAAAGAAAAAAGCAAAGGCCACAAAACTGAACCTTGTGGGAAAAAAATTTGTTGAATGATTCCCAGTGAAATCTACAATTAAATATGATTTAAACCATTCCAAAACGGTGCCTCAGAGACCTACCAAGTTTTCAAGATGGTGGATTAGACTTGGTGATTAACAGTATTAAAGGCTTCACTAAGATCCAATAACACTAATACAGAAAGGATTTTGTGCCATTTTTGTCGGTCAAAATTTCTCTCTTTTTCTCTTTTGTTGCACTGAAAATTTTTGGTGACGGAAATCTAGGTGCATCTTTAGATTCAGCATCCTTTGAAAAACACAATCATAGTAAAAACATGGTTAAAATATTATTAAAATAGAAGACGTTCCAGCACCTATAAACACAGTATTTTTATTGTTAAAAATTCTGATGACTGGTACCAGCCAAGGTCTTTAAAGACCTTTAAAGACTGGCGCTGCAAAATGTAGACTTTACTCTTTTCATTGATGATCCCTCTACAGTCGAGATGAAGGATGAGATGAGCTGGATGGGAAGTCCTAGCAAAGGGACAAATTTCTGCTGGAACATCAGCTTAGCTTTGAGTCGACATTGGTGATATAATTTTCATATCAGTTTGGCCCTAATACACAATGCCTTTCTCCATTTGCAGGCGCTGAGATGCAGCCCTATGTATCCATGGTCTTACACCACCTGATTGAGATCATTAACAGACCCAACACACCCAAGACTCTGCTGGAAAATACAGGTATCACTGGGAGGTGCTAGAGAAGGCTGCCTCCTGTTGAGGGAGCTTCTTCACCCAGCCCTCATTTTCGCCTCTGCAGTGGCTATCAATCTCCATACATACTCCAAGGGGTGGACTTTACAAGTTTTGCTAATGTTTACATTAACTTGAACACAACACAGTTGGCTAAAGGGGAAACAATACAGTTTCAGTGATGGTAAAGTTCTAGTGAAGTGAATACTAAAGGATTCTTATATGGACATGGCAAATCTTGTAATAGTCCAACCTGTTGTTGACTGAATTGGATTGATTATTTGAAACCACTGTTGGAAATTGTTCTTTTTTAGCTCAGGCTAACTTAAAGCTTTTTAGTGAGTTAGGAAAAAAAAATGCCTTAGTTTAAAAGTGTCACAAGCTTGGAGACAATGGTTGATTTCAGAAATCTGAATTCTTCTAACTGAATATTTGGAGGCAAAGCATCCTCTTCAGTCCTAAACATTTTTCTGAAGTTAAGATAAATGTATAGCACCTACATTTTGCCAACTTTGTCACAGTTATACTCCAATTTAATTAGAAATTCCTCTGTTCAGAAAGCTACAAATCACTGAGCCACAATAGCAGTCTACATTGAGTCCTATCATGATTTGGCATAAGTCTGAAGTATAACACCCCTAACTAACTTCCCCAGAAACTAGGGTACTTGTAGATGTGTTCCTGTTTGTCAGTTTGTTTCTGTTGTTTTAGTTACTGTTTTTTTCTTCAATGTGAATGCATATCTGCCAATAGATGTTGAATGTTGTTTAGTTAAGGATGGCTTATGTTTGATGCAGGATAGCTAATCCTCTGATCTCCATTTTATTCATCAAACACACTGTCCTTCCACAGAATCTCCAAAATCAAACCAACTGTTCAGTGTCTCTTTCTGAGTATTTCACTTTGCGGTGTGAGAGGCTTCACATACATTGAAGGAAGGGTACCATTTGACTTGCCAAGATAGTGGTGCTGTCAAGTGAGCATTTTCATACAGTACAGCATAATTTCTGCTACTGTTTCACTTTTTTAAAATTTGAAATATAACTCTTAGATATATAGTGGACGTAAAGGACCACTTCACTGGCCAGTGACAATCAATAAACAGCTGCTTTAAATCATGGTCTCACCATAGTGTGGCAAGGTTTATTTATGCTCCAGCAACAAAAGATACAACGAAAGCCACATTGTGGATAATAGGTGCATGTTAGTAATAAGTTCCATTGAAATCAATATTTTAATGAGAAACATCAGTTGGCTGATATTGATGTCTTATGGATTTATCAGTATTGATAAAAATTCAGCCAATAAAATGAAGAAAGCCTCTTAAGCCCCTTTCACACTTGCATTTTTAAGTTGGAATTTAAAGGTAAATAAACAGGAAGGGTAGAATTTGGGAAGGCTCATGAGTGAACAGAAGCTGATACTTTATGGGGAAAACAATGTCTTACGGCCAGCAAATATGAATGTTTTGTTTTTACAGTTTTTGTGAGTGAAAAAGGTCATGGAAGTGTATTTTGTACATTATTCTAGTGGCATACAACTTAAGAAGCAGTAAAAAAAAAAAAAAAGCTGCCCTTGGCGTGCTTGGCTACGGCTGCACAAAAGCAACGCAGCATGAGGGCAAAGCAGTTTCTGTGATGCTTTTGATTATACTGTTGAGTTTTCAGTTTATGCAGGATTGTAATTTCATACATGATTGTGAAGGAGCTATTGGCCATTCATGCTGAGGTCATCACTCCCTGTTTATAGGGACTTTCACTGTAAATTTGAATACATATATCCTCATAAAAGGACACATCTATCTGGGTATCCTGGTCTAAGGGTTGCAAGCCTGAGCATTACTGGTAACGTTTTAAATTTGAAAATGCTCTTAGGGTCAATCCCTGTCTTTAGCCCACTGACTTACATTTGACAGGCATGTAGAAATTATATTGGGGCAACTGCATTCTAGATGCCTAGAATGCATGTCTAGATGCTCCTGCTAGTAAAAAAAAAGTGCATCACTAGCAGAGATGCTGTTTGCAGTCTGGGACTCAGAGTCTTGAGGGGATTGCATTTGGCCATAATCCCAGGCTGGTAGAGTTTACACCCTGCACTTCACAAAGCGATGTACTCATTCAATTTGACATCCACACTTGGCAATCCTACATGGCTGACGCACCTCTTCATAAGCGTGTGAAGCCTTCGCCCTCAGTAAAGACTGGATTAAACAAAAATCAGTGTACTGATGAATATTACTACATTACTGTTAATGCACAGCACATTACTTTTAAGGTAAAATTTTGTCTTTAACAGTAAAAGTATAATAATTTTTACAGTCCTATTCCCTTCTATAATTTTTTTTGGGGGGGGGTGCCATGGATTAGTCTATCCTGCACTGAACTATGTTCTCTAATGAGCCAATCATCTGCTTTTTGCATGTCTCATTGGACTGTTCATAAATGCCTGTCTTTAATGAGAATGTTGCATAGTTTTGTGTCTCTTAAACTCAGGTCCTCCTCCTCTGTGCCTCTTAAAAGATCCCGGTGGAATCTAGTCCTCTCCATGTAGTTTGCTTGGTGTAATGTTTTTTCTTAGAAAAAAAAAGAACAAACAAAGAAAAGACATTTCTGTTCTATTTAAAGACTTTTGTGAGTTTAAGGGAGAAAATCTCAGAAAACAATTTTGATCACCAAGTGCACTCACTTTTTTCCATGTCTATATACGGAATTTAAAACAATACCATAAAAACAACAACAGCATGAAGTACAGGAATAACTCGGAAGTGTACATGACAAATGGTAATTTTTCTTGTCTAAACAAAAGTGGGAATGTTTATGTGGCAGACGCATTGTTTTCTAAGACGTCTCCCTTAAATGAGATGTTTCTTTTTAGAGTGTCATATTTTACATTTTACCCCTTAGTCTGGGGCTGTGAAGAGCACTAGTGAAATCTTGTGTTTATTCTCATACACAGATTCTGTTGAGTTCTGTTTCTGAGTTGTCTGTTTGTTTGTTTGTTTGTTTTTTCTTTTTTGTTTTCTCCTCCTCCCCTCCATTCGCTCATGTCTTGGTTGGCGTTTGGTGCTGTATAACCGTGATTGCGTTACCTTAGCAATAACAATTGGTCGTCTTGGTTACGTTTGTCCTCAAGAGGTGGCACCCATGCTACAGCAGTTTATAAGACCCTGGTGTGTATTATTCAATCTTTTATTTCATTCATTATCTCTATCTCTCTATCTTCTCTGTATCCCTCTCCATTCCCTCTCTCTCTCCCACTCTCATGCTCTAGAACCTTGTCCCAGTACTCTTAAAAAGCCTCCTCTTCCTGCTTCCGCATCCTGCTGAATCACAATTTGAAGACTGGTCCGAAATGCTAAAAACAAACTGTTTTAGAGCCGCTTCGGTGCACATGATCCTACATCTTCAAAAAAAAGAAAAAAGTAAAAACGAGATTTTAGGAGTCAGTTCAAGAGATTTGGGATAGGGCATCTATCTCCCTGTCCCTTTCTCTCTGTCTCTCTTCCCTCTGTCTTTCTCTCTGTCTCTTTTCTGTTCTGTACGATTCATTACCTGCCATGTGACTAACCCTGTCCTTCTAGGTCTTGTTGTTTAATTTGCCTCAGTAGCACCTTCATGTATTTCGTATTGATTTATTTTAGTTTTTACTTCTGTTGCTGTCTTTTATTGTTGCTAACGACTATCTGAATGCATGGGGTAATGTCACATGCTTGCTGATTATAGAGAACCCCTGAAAAGAAAGAAAAAGAAAAAAAGAAAAAAATGTCCCATGAGATATAGAGCCCTCTAGCTGCATGATGCTATCCTAAAAGCCTCTTTCAAACTCCTTGAAACAGAAATTGGCAGCATACAAGGTGCTTTTACATTTCTTTTTCTCCCAGAAACCTATTTGTACATGTAAAATGGTCAGTGAAGTTCAAGTAAAATACTATTATGGGACGTGACACAATGTACTTTCTCGTAATAGATCAGATGTGTAGCATATGGAATGTGGCAACTGACCTGGTCAGTTTCTTGAAGTATACTTTAAAAAGGGTTAAAAATGAAATCTGAAATAAACATATGGATGATAAACAGGAAATAAACAATGCACTTTAAAATATTTAGGCTAAATGTATGTTGTATACTGGCTTTAAAATTAAACAGTGCTTTATGGATATTTTACTCAGATCTTACAAACATTTCTTACAACTTCTGATCTTAAGGTGCTCTGAGGTGGTAGCCATGGTAATATACTCAGTGTACGTTTTCCAGTTTCAGAGTAACTGCATAGGTTTGTTGTTTGAAAACGGACTTTTCTCCTTCACTAGGTGCACCTCGCTACGCAATATAAGAGACAATGAGGAAAAAGACTCTGCCTTCAGGGGAATCTGCACCATGATCACAGTCAACCCTGGAGGTGTGGTGCAGGTGAGACGCTTTCATATTCAAGTATTTACAGCCGTATTCAATTTTTATTAAATTTGCGCTGTAATCGTTTCTGGAAAAATAAAAGGAAAACCAAGCGAGAAAGATCTATGAACTTTTGCCTCTTTGCTTTTATGATCTTGTTTCTAGGATTTTATCTTTTTCTGTGATGCCGTTGCATCATGGGTGAACCCTAAAGATGATCTACGAGACATGTTCTATAAGGTAAATATGTTTAATGTTTTATAGATTAAGCTTAAACTAGGATTAAATCAATGTTTAAATGTTCATACAGTTGCACCAAACTTTAAAACTAGTATAAAAATATTCAGGGTACATCAGTGTCATTTTAATCCTAGATTATTTTGACTATAATCCTAGATTCAATGTAATCATGTTGCTTTAAACTCAGAATTAAACTTTATTTAGGGATTCATTTTAAACTTTCAACTGAGGTGGTTTAAATGTACAATATTTGTAAAAATTGGCTGTTCTTTGCTTATAATCTTGTCTGATTCAGCTTGTAAATGGATCTGAAAGTGAGTTAAATGGTCATGCTGGATTATCATGTGTATTTTCTGTTAGATCTTACATGGGTTTAAGAATCAGGCTGGAGAAGAGAATTGGAGGCGTTTCTCCGACCAGTTCCCCTTGCCTCTTAAAGAGCGAATCGCAGCTTTCTATGGAGTCTAACCACTCCCGGAGAAACTGGCCTGTTGTAGGAGGTAAATGTCTTAAACTCAGTAACTTATTTTAATATCAGACTGCCTATACGTTCTCAATAATGATTTAGCAGTATTCTGACACTCACATGCTGATAAATTAAGTACCGTAACTAGTTTCCACTATATTGTCATGTTTCAGTTACATAACACATACATCACTATGCCTTTAGTAGTGAAAAGTAATGGTAATGAGAAATTAATAATCTAAAGCTATACTTCACTCATAAGAGCCACAAAATAGCAGTATAAAATATTACCTTACAGCATTTGTAATTGCTGTACTTATAATTTGTACTTATAATTTTCATGTAAAGAAATGGTTTAGATTAAATATATTACAATAAAACTTTAATACATAGTCATTTACATATATGTAACTGATTTAAATATGGTACTGCACAAAGGTCAGAGATTATTCATATTTCACTGTTGGGGGGGAAAAAACATATATTGAACAAAATAGAAAAAAAATAAAAAAAAATAGCAAGTTAAAGCTGTGCCCTCTCACCAAAAGCTGTTCTCAAAGATCTCACTGACATCATGTTCCCCTTCAAAGAGACACTGACATTCACACAAGTAACTATCCAAACTCACCTCAGCTGCTTTCAGATTTTCACAGGTGTATCTAAAATGACTGAAAGTGATACTTCTAAGGAGATTAGATATGAAATAATCCACTTGCAAAAGGAAGGAGAAAGTCAAAGGGAAATAAGTGAAAAACAGGACTTTGCAAAACTGAAGTTCAAAAAATTATTAAAAGATATAAAGATGATAAGACTCCTAATGACCGTGCAAGATAGACCACCAAAACTGCCCCATCAGACAAACAGTGCTTAAAGCTTTCAGAGAGGAGAGAGAGGACAAAATCAGGCTCCACTCTTTCTTTAGATCTGAAAAAAATCCACAGGTGTTTCTGTTCATCCTTCCACTGTGAGAAGATATCTCAACACTATGAGTCTGAAAGGATGTGTAGCTGTCAAAAAGCTGTTACTGAGAAAAGGAAACAGACAAAAAAATGTGCTAGAACACCAAAAGTAGACATTTAAGATGTGGATGAAGGTGATGAGTCAATTTGAGAAATTTGTATTTGGGATTACTTGGATTATGAAAATCAGAAAATGCAACTAACTTCTAAGACTGAATTTTGAAGGTGTGGAAAATGATCCTTGCAGATTTCTTTAAAAAACTGAAAGCAAAGTCTCTGAAAAGAATATAAAGGCAAAGTCTGGACAGAAAAACATGATACTATATTTAGTTATTGAGGCTTCTGTGTTATTTTCTGTTAAATAGTGTTTTATGTTTTTATGCTGAAGAAAAACTTGTACTTAATGGTATTTTGACTGGATTTTAAATAAATGAAAGGGTGGTCTCTGACTTTTGCACAGTACTGTAAATTGATAATTGAATTATAATTAATTCATAATTACACTATTTTGATAAGAGTATTTTATATATATGAATATTAAATAAATATATATGAATTATGTTTCTCATTGCACATTATTCTTTATGCTTTGTACGTAATAAAAAATTCAGATGCATGTTTGGCTGAAAATTTCACTAAAGAGACCTAAGTGTTATCTTCTCTACTTTGCTTTAGGTGACTGTGGGGGGAAAAAAAGCACGGGAGCCTCAAATCCCCAGGGAACATGTTGCCCTTTATGGGGGGGGAGGGTGGTGTGGCTGGGGTGGGGTGTGTGGACCCCTAAATCCCTCTAGATGGGGTGGGAGGGAGTTGTTTGCTGTGGCAATCCACTCAAGAAAAAAGCAACATCAAGAAAGAAAACCTTTAAATGCCCAGCCAACTGAACTAGAGAGGAAAATATTACTGTTCATTTTTCATTCATCTAAAACCTAGACGAGGAAATCATGGGGATAAAAAAGAACATGTTTATGTCTCGACTGAATTTAGGAAAATGCCAGATTCTGTCTGCAGAGAAAGTATCTTTCTGGATCAAACCACACAATACTGGATCAAGCCGTACTGGATCAGGTGGAAGTTCTAGACAGGATGGTCCCGGTAGGTACAGGACTGCACATGGGGTGTTACAAGGTATAACTTCACTTCATGAAAATGCAGTGAAGTCAATGCTTTTTTTGCACTGCACAGCAGTAGATGGAACACTGTTGAAGTAAATGATGAAAACTTACCGAGTTTAAAGGTATAATGTCTAAAAATTAGATGACTGCTTCATAACGTAAGAGTAGAAAATGAGGGTCCAAAAAACCATTTGTAATGAGTACGTAAGTGCTTTTTTGTGATTTTAACAAGTGATTTGTCTTAAAATATTCATTACCGTAAGCATGCATAAGGTGAAGCGAAAGGATATATTGGGGTACATCACAGCACAGTGACTTACTGCATTTGAGTAGTGGTTTTAAACCTCCCTGTGCAAAGGTATCAGACTCATCTCCTGTTGCTTTTCTTTTTCCATGTGAATTTGTGATCATGGTCTCTGATCTCAGTTAGAAGGTTTGTCATTGATTGATAAATCCAAGAAATGTTATTTTTTTGACATCTTCCAGTGTACTTGTTTTTTTTGCTTAGTTTACAGAGAGCATGATTTTGGAAATGCTTGTGATGACATTTTTGACTGACTAGAATAAGAAGGGTACTTAAGTGTTTGATTCATGCATGTTGGTGGCCCTATTAGCAATTTACGTTGCTGCCTCCTGATCCCCTCTTGATGAATTACTGCAACATCATTTGCATTTTTGCTTCCTCTTTAGCATCACCTCCCAGTTGAAGTTAACAGGAAAAGTTGTCTCAATTCAAAACTACTTTTTTGTTTGTCAGTGTTTTTTGCATACAGTGTTGCAAGTCTTCAAATTGCCTGAACGTATTCCAGGAAATAAAGATGGCATTTACTTTGGAAAATGACTATCTGAAACCAATTATAGTCTTTAGAGTATCAGATGAAAATTAAATTGAAATAAGTAAGTTGGAATGGCTCTGCAGGTCAGACCTATTGACACAGAACTTCTTATTTTAGCAATCTTCAGTACTTGGAAGTCCATGTACTATAGGAACGCTTTGCTTTTAGTAAGCTACTAAAAGATCCTTTTTTAAATGTAAATGCAGCTGTTCATAGGAGCAAAGCTATGGCCCATGAAATTAGCTAAGTACAGTAGGAATAGAAAGTGTTTAGTAAAGATTAGTATTAAGATTACTGTAGAGTAATTCTATATTCATAATGACTGAAGAAAGCAACCTGTTTCAAGTGCCATCTGAACTCCATGGGATATTATCAGGCTTTTTCGACTTTGTGATTTACTAAATGTTTGTTCAGTAGCTGTGTTTAAAATTGTTGAAAGTTTGTCTGTCACATTCCAGCTGTTTCAACCTGTCGGCAGATTGAAAGGCTCGGCTTTCTTCGGTGGTACCGCTTCTGTCACACTGAAAATGTAAAAAACCGAATGCTGTTAGTGTCGTCTTAAATACATGAACGCTGCTATGTGATGTTTTCTACTTGAATATTTTATGTTGTAGAGTCCTCAGGAGGTGTGTTTATCATTGTATTGTGTTTAAATTTGTTTTATTTTATTTGTTTTTCTTTTCTTCTTTTAGATACCTTTTTTCCCCATCCAGTTCCCCCTATATAGCATTATGAGTAACACAGCAACAAGAAAATGAAAATACTTTCTGGCCTGGTTTCCCAAAGGCCCTGTCCTAGAAAGATCGTCATAAGATGGTAGATTGAGTATTGAACACTTCACCCTATCAGCAAGGATTATCTTAACACTACAGTACAAAAACCCAGGCACTGATTTGATTACTTAATAGCCCAATATTTCCCAACTGAAAAAAAGAAAAAAAAGAAGTTTTGCAGTATTGGGGGGAAAAAGGAAATCAAAGACAGATAAGATTTTTAAAAGTGGAATGTGTGTTATATGTAGCTTTATCCACTTCACTGTTAAGAACTTCAGAGCTGTTATTATGAAATAACAGGGTGGGAGAAAAAGTGGCACAATTGTATGTGTATAGTAGCAGCTTATGCTAATGACATTTAAGTGCAGTATTTACTGTGATGCCTTGAAATTACACTTGATACTTTCGGGGGAAATCCGTACTGCTAGGAGACTGCTTGCTTGGAGATATTGCACAATCTTAAATACAGTAGTTTTTCTTTTTTTTAAGTACTATTTAAAAATTGTCACTTTAGCACTGCAACAACTACTGTATTATGTTATGTTAGGGGAGATCATAGTTAGGAAATTATGTAATAACTATGTAAATCCTTTTTGCTCATGAGCTACCATTGCTGTTATGGAAGAACTTTCATTTATTGGTTATTTTTTGTTTGTTTGGCAAGCTGCTCAATTTTAGAGATGGAACTATGTGAAGGTAATCATTTCTTTTGGGGCCACCAAATATTTTGGAACATGCAAAGAATCTATATTGTTGTAATTTTGTAATGACATTTGTATGACCTTGTGATGGACGTGAGTTTGTATCTCTGCTTGGATCTGTACATTGTTGAAAATAAACTGTTTTCATAAACTGGTATATACTTGTCATGCACATATTTTGCATGTACTTTGCGGTAAGCGTGGTTAGATCATCGGCCCAAATGTCAGGGCATATTTGTATAAGTGTAGAATTAATTTGATGTGAGTGGTAGACGGTAAGCAGATTGTTGTATTAGAAGAACCATAAAACCAGTGTTGGAACCAGGCCAGCCACAATCAGGACATTTTAGCTGACGATTGATTGTCGTACAATCTTAAAGATTGTGCTTTAAGCGTTCTTTAGTAAAGAAAATGGTTCTATATAGAACCATGAACACGCAAAAGAACCCTTTGCATGATTAAAGGGCTCTTTGCATCATGAAAGCGTTCTTCAGCCTGATGGCAAATGTGCTGTAGATGGTTCTATTTTTGAAAATGGTTCTATACAGCACCCAAAAGGGTTCTTCTATTGTTACGGTGTCAAACTTGTAACAATAGAAGAACCCTTTGGGTGCAATATAGAACCGTTTTCAAAAAGGTTGTACATAGAACCGTATATATCACATTCCTGCACATTTTCTATCAATCCAAAGAACCCTTTCATGATGCAAAGAACCCTTTAATCACGCAAAGAGTTTTTTGAGTGTTCATGGTTCTATACAGAACCAAAATATATATATTTTTTTTCACTAAAGAACCCTTGAAGCACCATCTTTTTAAAGAGTGTATAAATAACTGCAGTTAATATTCAATTGTCTGACTTCATGCAACTAATAAGTACTAAAAGTCAAAAGCAGCTAAATTAGCATCTTGCTTGTTTAGCTCTTTACAGCCAACAAGAGTGATGCACTGCACTGTACTGTACGTAAGGATTGTCTTGCAGTAACAGTGATGACCAAAGCTTACATTTTTCTCCTAAGACTGAAAATGTGAGCGAAAAATTAAAAATTAGCATTAGTTATACTAGCCATCAAATGAACAAACATTCCTCATAATGCAAACAGTTAAAAGGCTACAGTTTGAAGTTCATTTATTTGGCTCAAGCCTACTAATGACAATGCCTCCGGCTCACAATATGCATTATGTTACAATAGGATTGTGGAAAATAATTGCAGATTACATAATTGCAATTATCTCAAACAATTGTGATTGGCTGATTATGTAATAATTTTGACAAGCCAAGTTGGAACTATTAATGGTAGTTTTTTTTCCTTCTCACGTCTGCAGTTTCGCTTGTGTAAAGTCTGAAACATTACAGTCCTTGACCGGATTTGCTTGCAGACCTTTTAAGTATAATGTCTCTTAATAGGGTTTACCAAACGCAAACATAACCAACATATTAAATCAAGTTTGCTCAAAGTTTTTCAGGAACAAAATAACCTCTTTTATTATAATGTCATCAATGACTAGAGTTACTAAATGTGTTATGGCTGATTCCACAAAGGCGGTGCCAGTTGTGTCCCACTGACATTACATTTTAAATATTTATGTATCAGTACAAGACATTTTAAACATAAGCGTTCTGCACGGCAACATCCTTGTTTTGGATAAATAATTGAAAACATTAATAAAATGGCACTTTTTTTTACCTGCCCCAGCACTTTAAACACACAATCTTAAAATATAATCATTTCAATACTTCAAAAATCTTATTTTTTGCATTAATATTTGAATCCATTTAACATTTGATGCTTGAAACATCCTTTTTCATGAGTCGTCCATTATGAGTCATAAAAAATGTTTTGAAAAATGTGTTGCCCTCAACCCTATTAGCTGAACACATTTACTTCTATTAAATATCTGGAATATTCCATAACACTAAACTGCATCATCCAAACTCCCTGAAGATAATGGGAGGAGAAAAAAAAGAAAGTTTCTCATTCCTGTTTCTTTTTTGTTCATATTATTGCGAGGTCACTTCGAAAGTTCAGTCCTGTTACTCAAATTATAGACCTTGTGCCAATTATGTCCTTGTGCCATTAGCGCATATTATTTATGACGCAAAAATCAAGTATTGTTCCTGAAATGGGCAAACACGTTTTTGGAGAGTTTAATGCATGTTTTCCTGGATTTATTGTTGAAAAGAAACACTTGGAATGACTTTGTTTACATGTTAAAGGGGAACTCTGGCAATTTTTCAAAGTTCTGCATAATTAAATGGTTAACATGTCAACAAAATCACTTGGAGAGGTTTGGTGTGAAATGCTCCATTCCAGAGAAACTTACCGAGTCAGAATTCTTCATAGTGGTGGTGATAGGAACCAGACATCTGAGGAGTTTAACACCACTAAAAGCTCCCTCACAGAAGGTTAATATATGAAATACAATGCCTGATGCCTGAGACATTGTTTTACAGTAGTTTGTGGTCTAAAATGTATTTTTCTCAGTTTATTTTAATCTGGTCATGGTGGAGGGATACATGAAAGGTGTTCTTAGGCAAAATAGTTCCCAAAGAAACTTATTTTTTCAGATTTTCCACAATTTTACCATCATCAGTATGACATAAAACAACACAGAAGATGCGTGTAGGTTCACTGGTGGCTCTATTTGTGTTGGAAACATCTGGACTCCTGGTTCCTCTCAGCACTACTATAAAGAAATCAGTGAGTTTCTCTACAAATGAACCATCTCACTTCAAACCACTCTGACTGACCTTTATATTTCAACCACTCAATTATACATACATTTTGAAAAATCAGAAAATTAGCTAAGGGGTTGTTAGGGGTCTTCTGGACCCACCGCTGGGGACGCTGTTTCTCCTTCAATGAGCGAGCACACTGAAGCAGAGCCGCTGACGGACTGTAGAGCAGAGAAGTGAGCTCCGCCGGTGGAGGAGGTGGAGTCTCAGGATCAGAGGGAGGAAAAAACGAGCAGAAACGAAGGGGAGGAAAAAAAGAGAAAAAGCCGCAGACACAACAAAACCGGGGGGAGGACGGCGGATTAAGTGCGTCAATTGAAACTGAAATTCAATTAAGGTGAAGGAGACGAGCGGCCGTAAAGAGAAGGGAGGACATCAAGATGATAACGCCTTATTTCCTGGAAAATTTCTGGGTAAGGTTGTTGCTGGTTTCTCTCTCCGTGTTTGTTGTATTTTTGTTAGCCGGGTCCAAAGCCACTTGTTCGGTTCACGTCCCTCCCTCTCTGTAAGAAAAGCTCAACAGGGGCTTTATTTCTTGGCCGGTTTGTGTGTTTGCTTCTCAGCGCGTCTTGTAGAAAGCTTACCGGTAAAACACGGTTGAGGGGAAACACGGTGTGCACTGTTGCCCCGTTGCCCCTGCCGCTAATGTCGGCAAGCGCCTTCTCCGCCAGCCCGGGGATTGGGCCTCCGAGAGCTAACGACTCACACCAGCGGCCAACTGGAGACCACCTCCCTGCGATGTGATTGGCTTCGAGCGACTGTCCTGGAATGTTGATGGTCCTGTTCGGGAAGCTGATTGGATGTTGTCGCTGTCATTCGCCGAGTATTTTTTTTTTCTCGTCGTTTTCTTCCGTGATTAAGTTCGAGTGAGAGACCAGAATATCTCGGAACATTAGCTAGTTTAACTGTGAGCGAGGACTTTATTCGCCATTCACGCTTTTCTTTGGCGTGTAAACACTAAATTCTCCTCTGACAGGCTTGTGTGTGTGCAGCTTTGGCCAGGCGACGTTCCTGTCAGCTATCACTGGCTTTCTGCTAACCTGCAATGTGAGCTAATGTCCAGATGTTGTACTTGAGACTGAGAATAAACGAGCAGTGTAGGTGTTTCAGCCCACTAGACCTCTCAGCTAAAAACAGGTTTTGGTTAAAGGAAAAATTCCACCAACTATTTCAAGATTTCTCAGTCACTGAGATGTAAACAGTCATTCAGAGTGATTTGATGCGAAGTGGTGTACTGCAGAGAAACGTACAGACTCACGTTTCTTAGCACTGCTGGTGATAGGAACCAGAGGTCACCATGTCTACAGTGCAAATGTAGCCGTGTTTTTTTACTATCCAGACTGGCCAGTAAACCCCTATGTGTCTTTTAAGTTGAAATGCAAGGCAGTGTGACAGTATTTATTGTTATTGTGATAAATGACATCACAGTTTGTCACTATCCGCTAGTCTGAGCATGTCGCGGATATTGTCAGTACCTAAAAATCAGTTCTGAGCTGCATGTTTGATTAGAAAGAGAGCATGCTTAGTCCTGTTTATTTGAATTTAGTACAGAAATGTTGAATAGAAGTACTTGGATTCATAATTTTTGATAGTATTTTTAAAATGTGGCACTGCTTTGTCTGTTCTAACTCATCAGATGTTAATATCGTGAGACATTGCATAAAAAAAACTTCCTGAAGTATCATGATATTACATTTTGCCATCGCCCACCTCTAATCCTGATATTGTTTTGTCCTGCAACACCATGTCATTTACCTCTCTGTCAGAGGTAGTTTTAGGCCAAAGACTTCTCACAAAATGATTGTAAAAAGGTTAGGCAGTGTATTTATAACCATTTCATACAGTAACTTTCTGTGAGGTAGCTTTGTGGGAGTAAAGCTTCAGACTTCTGGTTTCTGTGAGCAATTTTGACTTGTGCCATATCAGCGGTCTCTGAAAGACTTTGTTTACATCTTGACAGTGAAGTTAAAAAATAAAAATTGTGTAATTCACCTTTAAAACCCCCAAGTATACTGTGTACAATGTCACTTTCTTCCCTTCCTTGCCTTCTAGAGAAATGTTTTCATAAGCTCCTTGTTGGAATTCGTACACATTATTATCTTTGTATTTTCCAGCTATGTTGCTCAATTCCTTTTGACAGCCTCTTACTGGAAGTGTTCGCCGGTACATGAACATAATTCTGGTCAGCTGGTTCATATGCCTTTGGTTGGAGTGTAGATGCATGATATAGTTTTATGTGAGAGCGAAGTGAAAAGGTTAACATTAGACGTGTACGTGTGCATGGTGGCTTGTGGTAATGGTAGAGTCTGTAAATGCAGCAGATGTTAGCCATGTGTTGGAGGAAGTGGGTTTCGTTAGCAAAGTTTCATAGTCGACCTCTGCACTGATCATAGTCTTATCACAGGACATTGTGTGTATTCGCTACACTAGGATTCTCCTTCTTTCTTGTAATGTTGTCTATGTTTGTAACCGTGACATAACCAGCAAAAATACGTATTTATACAAGACTAGACAGAAAATTTCACCAGGACACGCAGTGTTTTGGATATGAGGAGAATAAGGAGAAGAGAATTTGTACTTATAAAAAGCTGCATTATGTAAGTTGTAGGGATTTGGAGACCTCTCTGGTGGAAATGTGTAATTGCATGCAATGTGCAGGAAAAAAAAACTTTTTGTAACATCAATTGTGCTTCGGATCCCCTCCCCTGGAGGATGAATCTGATGATAGCGAGTGTGTTGAAAGTATTCAAAGAGAATGACTGTTGTCATCGTATCTTAATTAGTATAATGTTGATTTGTGCATTTAATACCTAAACATTGAGCTGGACCTTTTTTTTTTAACCTTTGCATGCTGTTAATACGCCAAGACATGTAACATATATGGGCCCACAATACAGGTTCTTACTCTTACAGCTTGCATGTTTTAATCAGGATTAATCAGATAACTTATATTAATTACACACTAACAAATCTTTAATAATCATTTTTTATTAAAATATGCTTTATTAGCATATTTTAAAACTAACAGAAATGGTAAGTCTAGCGGTCAAGAGGTTTTAACTAGTGATGGCATGATACCATTTTTTTCTTTTCTGATACTGAAACCTTGAGTATCGGCCGATATGGATCCGATAGTTTTCCTTAAGGGCTACTAAGCTTTTAAAATGAGCTGTTTTTAATTGAAGCACTTAAGCACTTGAGCATCTAAAAATAGGCTACCACTCAAATACTTTACTACCCCATAGAAAGATATCCATTGCTAACATCACCCCTTTTAATGGAAGTGCTCAACCAAACATTGCCGTTGGTGTTTCCACTTGTTGAACTAGGCAATATAATTGTTTGGCAAGGCTTTCACTGATGTCTGGATCCAGTGACCACTGGATAACATTCAAGGCAGCAAAAGACAATAAGATGGGGGAAGCTAGATGTGTGGGGTTTAGAACCGTGGGGTAATGGACCTCAATCAGCTCTTTGTGTGGAAGGACTCGTTAGGACAGCGACGGCTATGATCAGCTGTGTGATTGTAATGCAAGACACATGCGAATACGCACACGAGTTCAGTCTTTTCCAGAGCTGCGCAGCCTTCCTGCTCTTTGACACGCTCGCTTTTATTCACGCTTTCTATGTCTTTCACACACCTGCCTTATACAAATGTACAAATTATGCAGGGTGCGATTTACGGGAGGTTTTTGGGGTCAGGAGTCAAACCCCCTCATTCAGATTTTATTCCCACTCCCAAAGTCAGAAAAGGTTGGTAAGGGATCTTAAATTACATGTAATAAGTAATGGTGTAATGGTTAGTCAGAGAACCAAATCATGTATAAAACAGTTTTAATCAGCTCTGCAGTGGACTACGCTGTTTCTTCATTGTTGACCCTGTCTGAGGCTTTATTCCCTCATTTAAAATTCATTTATTCTGAAGAGAGAAGCTGAATATCTTGGCAAAGCTTTGCTGAGGTTTAGACTGTTAGCTTTCTTCTGTAATTTAACTGGAACTGTGCTCACTGTCCTATTAATTCATTTGCCATACCAGTTGACTTGTACGGTTTAGGTCAGCGATTATCAAACCTGACGCCGCAGAAAAATCTCAAATGTTGTATCCCTACTTAGTAAGTTTTAATTTTGTCAGTGTATGAAATCTGTTTATGCCATATATTAAAGTGGTCGATGTTATTAAACGCTATTTAAATGAAAGACTTGCCAGTCACTATTCGCGGCCAAGCCATGTCTGAAATGTCATAGAACTGGGCCATGTCTATGTGTGCAAGTCAGTGATAGGTTACAAAATGGACAGGGTTCTGGTCAGACCTGGTGCTTGTTCTTTAAGTGAAAGTGGGGAAGCAGGAGGACAGTTGCAGTGGAGTGACACCTGCTATCCACATAGGGGGCCTTAGACTAAAAAGGGTTAAGAACTGCTGGTTTGAGTTACTTGTGTAGAGTGTTGCTCAAATATATGACACTGGCTGTCCGCTGGTTGTCTGTCTCATGATTTCTTGGTTAGCCAGATTGCTTTGATCTATCCCAGGATTGTCTGTCTCATGACCGTGGATGTTTACTGGGATACATCGCCATGACAACTTATGCTGCATGACTACCCTGCTCCAAAGCAGATTAAGTACAGGATTAATGATAGTAAACAGTTCTTGGACCAGTTGGTACAGGCTTCTGACCAACCAGAGGTGACCTTCTGGTGGATATGGACCCTTTGGTCCTTTTCACGTCACTTCTTTTTCTTAATCACCAGCTATTTATTTTCACGTAGTATGAAGATTAGGGGTGGGAATGGTAGTTTCAAAGCAAAGTATTTGTAATGATCCATAATGAATTTACTTCCAATATCTTGTATTAATAAATCAAATGGAAGTGATGTGGCAAGTGAACTAGAAGGCTCTCATTCACTGCCTTTGGAGCACATGAGACGCTGCTGCCACTCATCTGCAATAAAATGCGCAGTTACAGTGAAATAAGACCCAGTGGTAATGGATGACCATGCAGCACGTTATAGCCGTCCTACCCGTTTTTAGTGACTTTATAACTTTGGTTTTGCTCTCGTTGTAGAGAAAGAGGTGGGGGGGGTTGCTGTGTCAGTGAAATATCTTCGAGATGGGGCGTGTGCAACATTTGCGCGAAAGCCCTGTTTCGCAACCACTGAGAATTGCTGTGCAGACTGCAGGTCACGTAACAACGATGCGTTATTCGCATTTATAAGCAGCGCAGTTGATTTCCTGGCAAGTTAAATCTGCAATGAGAGACTGTCAAACAGTAAAAAGTCGCAAAGATGAAGTCGCTTCTCTTCCGAATTTTCTCGTTCCACCTTAAATTGTGCCGCATTTACATTCGGCGCCTCAGTCAGAATTTAAGGTGGAACGGGAAAATTCGAACAAGAACCTGGAGAGTAAGGAGCGACTTC